GTTTTAGTGTTTATGCAAACAAAAAGTAATTTTATTTGTTGTTTGTTGATTTTAAATCTAAAGCTTGGTGAAAGGATTTATGTGTCAGTACTTTTTGAAGATTTCCAGCACATTTTAACAATACCGTGATGATACTGATAACGGTGATCATTTTGGTCACGATAATCATGATAAGAAAATGTCATACCGTTTCATCTCTAGTAGAAACATAATTATTAGTCAAAAGGTTTATATAAAAACGGCCTTCTGTGTATAAAAGGGTTAATTATTAAATGTAGGGTAGTCGATTTCTGAGAGGCTAGCAATCGCAAGTTGAAAGGATTTATGTGTCAGTACTTTTTGAAGATTTCCAGCACATTTGAACAATACCGCGATGATACTGATAACGGTGATCATTTTGGTCACGATAATCATGATAAGAAAATGTCATACCGTTTCATCTCTAGTAGAAACATAATTATTAGTCAAAAGGTTTATATAAAAACGGCCTTCTGTGTATAAAAGGGTTAATTATTAAATGTAGGGTAGTCGATTTCTGAGAGGCTAGCAATCGCAAGCTAGCTTTGAAAGCATAAGATCCCACCCTCGCTGCAAATCACTCTCCAAAGCCACGCCTCCTCCAAAACACATTACCGTACAAAGCGCTTAACATTACAATAATAACGGTCTGCAATAGCGTAATGGAACAGGTAGGACTGCCTATCGTAGCCCCTGGACCGAGGAATATGATTGGACGAACATTTTATGGTCCTACGCCTTCCACAGACGATATAAATACATATTAATACATTTTAGACCACTTAACTTAGTGATTGCTATCGGGATGTGACTTTCAGCAAGCATAACAAAAAAACTGTTTTGGAGCCAAATCACCGACCCTGCTTTTAAGTCTGTTTGACTAATTGATTATTAAATAAACTTTGTTTTCAGGTAAAGTTTTTTGGTTTATTTTGGTGCATTACTACTCTGAAGTCTACAAGGGCTGTCAAAATGGCTGAAAAACTAAATTGGAATTTTGTACTTAAATATTATCAATATTCAAATTATATTTGAATTTAAAAGGCATAATTTCAGTTAGGGGGGAAAAAAGCTTTTGGCTTCTCTCTGCTGAGGCCACAAGAGGGCGCATCGAGAAAAATATTATGCACGTTTCTTCAAAGCATAATAAAATAACACGACTAACTTTGGGAAAAAAAGTGCATAATGTTTAAAATAATGTTTATAAACCTTATATAATTAAAGTTGCTTAAACAATTAGAAACAAAACAGAATCATGCATGTATGTACAGTATAGTTTAATACAAAGGACCCAAAACCAATCACAAAGAGTACTTTCTTCATTTAAAAACTTGAGATACAGTGGGATGGGGAAAAACCGCCATAAAGTCTTGAGACACGTTTTTAAAAAGTTGAACTTGCATTACTTTTACATGGCTTTCTAAACATGCGGCTCTCTTGTGCGAGATGCGAGTGCAATGGTGATAGACATCCCTCTAGAAAATGCGCAAAATATGTGTTTGGTTTCAATTTTGACGTAAACCGCATCATCTCCGCATTGATGTTCTTTTTTCCCCGCAATATTTTGAATGAACAACGTAGCAGCGCCGCATCTAGTGGCTTCAACTGGACAGGCTAACAAAAGCATTAAAATGCAACGACACGATCGTCATCGCATCTCGTGCGCCACTGATAAGGCTGCCTGATGCACACCTAAAATTCGAATGCAACGTTTTTGCATTCGAATGTGGATTTTTATTTTAAATTCCATGAATATTCGAAATTCGATTTTTTTTTGACAGCCCTAAAGTCTACTATTGATGTATTGCTAGTTATATTACAGGCTGATAGCGAGACCCATATGTAATATACGGTGTGCTTCTTGGCAACTCTTTGGCAACCATTGACAACACTGTAGCATAGTGTATGTTTACAGAAAGAATGTTTTGACATACTGTGGCCCTGTACAGTCAATGCAGTCAGAAGCGGTGAGCTTTTGCGGATGCTGCTGCTCATCTGTTGATTTAATGGTTTGTCGTGTCGTGCAGATGAATGACTGTGTGGATGGAGTTACGGTGGAGCACAGCTCAGATCTCTCAATTACCGTCAACACCAAGAAATCATCACACTCTTGGACGTTCACACTCTTCTGCAAGGTTTGGACAATCTAGCCTCTCTTTTCACAAGCCACAGTGTGTTTGAAGAAAATATCTTTGCGTTAGTGTTCAAATCTGATGATGTATTCAAAGTTAGTCAATGCAAAATCAATTAACTTTGACACTCGTTCGTATTGTGCATGTTATTTTTTAAGCTATTAAAGATTTTATAAAGAATAGCAAATAATGATTTGCTATAGTATTTTTCTTCATTGAATTTCCTATTTCCTGCTTGTGGCATTAACACGGGCCTGTGTTGAATTTAAAGCCTTAGAAATTGTTAGTGATCTTGGAAAAGGATTTGAATCTCTAGGCTAATACAAACAGGAATTTGTTTTGTCACAAACAGCCGGTCCGTACGCTACACCGGATCGCTCTGCTTTACGATGCCAACCGGCCACATTTCTCCATCACGGCGGTCTCGGCCGGGGACGCGTCTACCCAAGTGCCCCAGGGGGTGTGTGAGGGCGGCTGTCAGGAGTGGAGCGTGGCTGGCCTGGTGCAGAACGGCTTGGACCACTGCGTTTACACTGTGGTGGTCTCCTTCAGCACGGAGATCTTCGGAACCTTCCGGCAGACTGTGGTTTTTGATTTTGGCTCTGAGCCCGTGCTCATGCAGCGAGTGATGGTGGACGCCGCCTCCATTGAAGGTAGGACACTGTGGGAAGATGCTTAAGTTACGTGTTAAAAAATTGCAAAAACCTTGTGGTTTCAAGCGAGCAGGACTTTTGATTCTTTTGTGGAAAAGACAAAAGAACATTTTAGAGGGTTCATGCTGTTATTAGTTAAACAACCCACCACAACACCCTGGCAACTTAGAACTGTTTCCTCAGATACTAGCTAGAACATCCTAGCCTAACAACACCCTAGCAACCAACCAGTTTATCCTAGCAACCTCTGTTAACACCTGTCAGCCACCCAGAACACCCTAGCAATGGCCTAGTGAGCCACCAGAACTAGGGTTGGGTATCGTTGTTTTTGTTTTTTTTCGATATCGGTGCCAAATCGATACTTTTAAAACGGTTCCAGTGTCTGAACCGATACTTATTAAAAAAATAAATAAAAATTTCCCCCAAAAATGATGGATTGGCCATTCATACTGGACGGCAGAGGGTGCCCTCCCACAGAAAATCCACACATCCACAAGCATGACCCTCCAGGAAATCCCTTATATGGACAAAGGCATTGCTATTATAGCTGTAAGTTAACGGAGTAAACAGAACATATAAACATTTTGAATGATAAAACAAAGACAATAAACACTCGACTGCGACACTATAGTTTATCGGTGTTATTAAAGCCATCTGGTATTTTCATAATTACGTATATTTATAATTCATTGCTAATCGATGCATTCTTAATCTTTTTAAAGTAGCCTATGGAACATATTTTCTGCCTCATTCTGTGACAAGAAGCCTCATCAGATCCCAAAAGGAAGCATGTGACTGGTGTTGTGGAGTAAAAATTTTATAATGTTCTCTTTTGTTGGACAACAGGTTTAGAAAAGTGAATACTAGGGAGGTTTAGCTTTAGGCATGTTAATTTAAGCGTGTTTAGCTTCGTTAACGGAAGGCTACCTGCTGCCATCAGAGCAAGTGTAATTACTGCATTCACGCGCTCCTCCGATGCTCTCGTTTCCCGAGTTGTACCATATTGGTACCGGGTTTCGGTACCCAACCCTAACCAGAACCCCCTAGCAACTTCTGTAGTTTATTATAAACTAGCCAGAATGCCCTAGCAACAACCTAGCAACCATCCAAAAACCCTAGTAACCACTATCAACTCCTATAAACTAGAATACCCTAGCCTAACAACCAGCCAGAACATGCTAACGACCCCCCTTAGTAATGCCTTGGCAGAAGACTCTAACAACTGCTGTCTTCTCATAGAAACTATCTAGAACAACCTAGCCTATCGATGCCCTAGCAACTTCTGTTAACACCTTAACAACCAGCCAGAAAAACCTAGCAAAATCTTGTTACTCCTATAAACTAGCCAGAACACTCTAGCCTATATCAACACCTTAACAACCAGCCAGAACACCCTAGCAGTGTATAGTAACCAGCCAGAACACCTTAGAAACCAATTAGTGACGCCCTAGCAACCCACCAAAACACCCTAGCAACCACCTGGGGCCTACATGCTTGAAATTCACCTCTCCAGAACTACATTAGACATTTAACCTTCAAGCTGTTAAACCTTTCAAGTAAAGTTTAGTCTATATTTACGGTTTCTCGTCAAGCTTCTCGCCTCTAGTTACTTGCTGGAAAAGACGTTAATTGGTTGATGTCTGTGTTGATGTAAACGTTGAAGAGTTTTAGACTGTTTTCTACTTGTTGTGTACAGTCTCAGTTATCTTGTCATAGAGAGACGTGCCAGAGATATGTAGTGGAATTAGTTTAAGCAGCGTACGCCATTTGCCATTGTAAATTGAATTGCGATGGTAGAAACCCCAGAGACTTTTGTCAAAAGGCAAGACGCTGTCAGCAAGCAGGCTGCCCTACAAAGAGCGGGATTTGGCCTAATTTACCCTCTTTACTCCGTCTAACAGATCCTATTTATCACTGTGCCCTGCAGCATAACACACACACTCTCTCTCTTACTGTATTTAAATAGTGTTGAATCCTTTGTCTCGCAGAATCCCTGTGTGGGCTTGGGTTTTGTGTCGCCATATATGAATAATTTGACACGGTTCCTTAAATGATTGCAAAATTGTCCCAGAACATTTCAAGCCATACGTGGGATGATAATGGATTAATTCTAATGCTGTGCAGGGTTGGGGTGTAACGGAATACATGTAACGGCGTTACTCAGGATACAAAAAACTGATAAAATCATCAGGGCAGCGCTAACAACACGTTTTTGTGCATCAGGTAGTAGGGCTGTGCGATTTGGGGGAAAATATAAAATTGCGATTTTTTTTTATTTATTTTTTTTATTTTTTTTTTTACAAAGATTGCGATTTGATTTGCGATTTTAAATTGGCAAAGTCAAGCTTCAGCTCAATATTGTCAATAATGTGCAGCACAGTATGGGTATCATTACCCTGCTGAAAAAAACAATAGAAACCATCACAGAGCGTGTGCGTCAAGCCTCATCCATACCGCCAGATGCGCTCGTGGAGACTTGCGGTGCGGAGCCGGGTGCGAGTATAAACCAGCATTACGAGACGGGCTGCGTGAGTGCGGCAAGCGTGAACGGCTCGTCCGTGACGCGTGGGGCAGAGAGGAGCGAGTATTAGAAGCATTCACAGACACAAGGCTGTGTGTGCACTCTTCTGAATTGGGAATAGCGAACATGCATCATAAACTTATTTCAAATTAATCTGTTGGGGAGATAAAATGTGCAAGATAACGTTCAGGTACTAACAAAAACATCTAAGAATATATCTTTTATTCTCCAGTGCTGAAAACAGAACCGATAAGGGAGCTCTTGATATGCACTGTGACGCAGCTCTTGCAAATTACCTTTTTTGTTCATTGTCTGTCATTTCAAAGCTTAAGTTGCATACGTTTTTCTTTAGTTTTAATTTGCCTAACTATCGATCTGACCCAGTAGACGCCATAGTCCCACTCTGTCTCTCTCCCGGTTTCCGTTATTTTTTTTTTTATGGTGGGTGTTTACGCAGTTGGCTAGAGCAGTGCTGATTGGGGAGAACGGAGGTGCGTTCACTCTATTGGTTAGTAAGACTGCCACTCAAGGCTGGCAGTCATGCATATGCTCTGGAACAGAGTAATATCGCGTCCATATCGCAGGCTTTGCAATTAGGATATCGCAACGTCTCAAATCGCGATTTCGATGCGATTTCGATTAATCGCACAGCCCTATCAGGTAGTTTATATCTTGCATCATATAAATATAAGTATTTTTGATGATATTGCTTTTACTTGACCATATTTAACATATTGCTTTTACTTGACCATATTTACATATGTGACCGTGAAGGAATCCAAAAGTAATCCGATTACATTACTTTCATATTGCTGTGTTTGGATTACCTTACTGAATACTTTTTTCATTAAAGGGCTCATATGATGCTTTTTTAAAGATCATTATTTTGTGTATTTGGTGTAACAGAATATGTTGACATGCTTTAATGTTCAAAACACATTATTTTTCAAATACTGTACATTATTGTAGGTCCTCTATGCCCCGCCTCTCTCAAACGCTTCGTTTTCTACAAAGCCCCTCCTTCCGACAAGCGCAGTCTGCTCTGATTGGCCAGCTGACCCAGTGCATTGTGATTGGACGAACACCGCAAGCACTCGTCAGAAATGTAACGCCCCTTACCATAATCGCCAGCTTCAGCTTTCAAAATAAGTGTAAGAACAGAGCCCGAAAGGGGAACAGAGTCGCGTGACAGACACAGTGATGAAGCTGGTATGTGTTTGCAGTACACAAGCCACGGTTAAGACAGCTGACTCCACTGTGATGTGTCTCGCTCGCTCGCTCGCTCGCTCTCTCGCTCGCTCTCTCTCTCTCTCGCTCTCGCTCTCTCTCTCTCTCTCTCTCTCTCTCTCTCTTTCTCACACACACACACACACACAGACACACGATGCGCAAAACTCCGCATTTGAACAGTCAGTAGCAAATACTTTTGAAATCACATCATATGACCCCTTTAAGTCATTTGTAACTGTAGCGGAATATATATTTAAAGTAACCCTCCCAAGCCTGATGCTGTGTATCAAATACAGACCAAAAGGTCTTAAAAATCACCATTTTCTTAAAGGGATAGTTCATCTAGAAATGAGAATTATGTCATTTACTCGCCCGCAGGTCATTCGAAGCCTATATGAATTATTTTCTTCTGTGAAAGCGATATCTCCAAAGTGTTAGTCCATAAGACTTTAGTGCTGTATTCAAAGTCTTCTGAAACCATGTTTTTTGCAGTTTTATCATTAAAATTGTTTATTTTACAGTGTCTATTGAAAACCATTCCTTTTAAAAGACATTTTCAATCGTCTGCTAGATGTGTTGTCTGTAGCACATGGCAGGCGCGGCTAGAAAAGAGTGCGCAAATAAATACAGAAAGTCTTGGCAGAGTCTGTTTGAACAGCAGGTGTGTTTGTGTGTGTTTGGATGCAAGGTGGAGCTGCAGTTTCAGCTGAACAGGCTTCCTCTGTGTGAGATGCACTATGCTCTGGATCGCGTCCGCGATAGCAGTATCCTGTTTCCAGATGTCAGCCTCACTCCCACAATCCCCTGGAGTCCCAACAGGTACGAGCACACACAAAGACCCAAACGAGTTTTACACGCAAATACACGCATCTGGAGATCTGCTTGCAGTAGTTCCTTGTCTAACAAAGACTCTCTTGGCTTTATAAGCACCTAAAATGACAGAGGACATGAATAATATCTGCTTGTCCTGCAGCACTGGTTCACTCACAGATGTCTTTGTTTGTGTGAGCGGTGCATTTGTAGCCAGTGTGTAAGTTCTTCTTCCTCGCTGCCACAGGCAGTGGGATGAACAGCTGGATCCCCGTCTAAATGCCAAGCAGAAGGAGGCTATTCTGGCCATCACCACCCCCCTCTCCATCAACCTCCCGCCGGTGCTCATCATCGGACCCTACGGCACAGGCAAGACCTTCACGCTGGCCCAGGCTGTCAAACACATCCTCAAGCAGCCTGAGACACGGTAAGCAGGAAAGCTTGCGTTGCAGGGTCAGCCTTAAAGGAATTTGCCATAGAAAATAATTTCCAGTCATCCCACAATATGTGAAAAACAAACAAGAAACACATTTACAGGAGTGTTCATTTTGCTATCAAATACAGATGGAAAATAACTTTTTTTCCATGACTAAGGCGAGACGAAGAAGAGATGAGGTCATTACACAATAACTGTGACAATATCAAATTGCAATATGGTTGATGGAAAAAGAAGAGACTAAAATATAGTTTAAAAAATAAAAACACTCTATCCAAAACTCTGTCTATATGTGACCCTGGACCACAAAGCCAGTCTTAAGTGTCAATTTTTCAGATGATTATGAAACTAGTGTGAAAGAATTGCTTACTGACCTTGTTTGGACAGTTCTACCTTTAAACCCCATAGACTTCCATTGTTGGTGGAAAACATGTTTGTGTGTGTTTTGAGAAACAAATTGAATTTTCCTGCGGTGAAAACCGCATATGTTGCCAATGGAGCTTAACTTGTATCGATCCCAAAACATTCCTTGCTAATCATGAGGAATAGTCTTGAAGAACAGAGGAATTAAGATAATTTTGTTGTTGTTGTTTTTTTGTCCTGCTTTAAGCAGCTTTGGCTTAAAGAGTGCTAATGACGGTTGTTCTCTCTTTGTTTCAGGGTTCTGATCTGTACACATTCAAACAGTGCAGCAGATCTGTACATTAAAGATTACCTTCATCCATACGTGGAGGCAGGCAATCCTCACGCACGACCGCTCAGGTAACACTCGCTGCATTGTCACTGTCATTGTTTGCTACAATAAAAAAAAAAAAAAAAAGACTAATAATTAAATTAAAAATAATGAAATCAGAATTCTTGCTGTGGCAACTAACTGAAAATAAGTTTACATTGAAGTACTAAAGCTAAAGCTGAAATAAATATAAGCTAGGGTTGTGACGGTGAGGAAATGTTCCCACCGGTTAATCAACGTGTGACAACACCGGTATCACCGTGGGGGCGTTCCCTCTTTTCCTCGCTTTTAAATAGCTTGTAAAAGCGGCGTGTGCGCATTTTACTTTCACTTTCAAATAGCGGCAATTCGGCGTAAAGCAATTGTTAGTTTTTAGTTCGTTTGAATTTTCGCTCTTTTCCTCTGCTTTTAAATAGCTTAAAAGAATTAGCGGCAGTTCTGCGTCAATTGCTTGAATGCAACAACAAAATACAACGTCAAACTCACTTTAGCCTATATATAAAACATAACTTTTATTAACAAAACTAATAAAAATACACCATGCTATAGGGCAGACTATGCCTAATATAAAATAACAAATAACCTCCATAAAGTTTAAATAGGTAGCCTGTACAAAATTGGAAATGAGTAAACATGTATAATATATAACCAAATAAATAAGAAACGTAGCAAACACTGTGGAACCAATTAAATAAGAAATGAATGTTTAAAAAAACTTCCAAAATCATCTTAGATAAACGGCAAAAGTCAACAGTCTTTTCAAAATCCAAAATACTGCCAAACAGGTGCTTTTGCATCTTGTTTCGAAACTAAATCATCTGCGATCGTCTTGTCTGTTCTCTCCTCCCCCCCGTCTCCCCTCGCCTCACTCTTCTCGCCCGTCTCGCCTCGCCTCACTCTTCTCGTCCGTCTCGCCTCGCCTCACTCTTCTCATCTCACCTAGCCTCACTCTTCTCATCTGTCTCGTCTCACCTCACCTCACTCTTCTCGTCTGTCTCGACTCACCTCACTCTTCTCGTCTGTCTCACCTCACTCTTCTCGGCCGTCTCGCCTCGCCTCACCTCACTCTTCTCGGCCGTCTCGCCTCACCTCACTCTTCTCGTCCGTCTCGCCTCACTATTCTCGTCTCTCACCTCACCTCACTCTTCTCGTCCGTCTCGCCTCACCTCACTCTTCTCGTCCGTCTCACCTCACTCTTCTCGTCCGTCTCACCTCACTCTTCTCGTCCGTCTCACCTCACTCTTCTCGTGTCAGTCAGCTCGACTCACTCTTCTTGTCAGTCAGCTCGACTCACTCTCCTCACTGGCGAATCGCCTCACCTCCTCACTCTTCTCGTCCGCCTCGCCTCGCCTCGCCTCGCCTCACTCTTCTCGTCCGTCTTGCCTCACTCTTCTCGTCCGTCTCGCCTCACTCTTCTCGTCCGTCTCGCCTCACCTCACTCTTCTCGTCCGTCTCACCTCACTCTTCTCGTCCGTCTCACCTCACTCTTCTCGTCCGTCTCACCTCACTCTTCTCGTGTCAGTCAGCTCGACTCACTCTTCTTGTCAGTCAGCTCGACTCACTCTCCTCACTGGAGAAATTAAATCTGATCTGTGATGCTACTGTCGTTCGGCACGCTGCATTGAGCAGCCGCATTCAGTTTTTAATTGTAGTGTGTTCTTTTACTGAACTAAATGAAAATTATTTTTATTACTATAAAACAATCAAAACGATGGTGACGTAGTGAGGAAGTGACGTAAAGTGTTGCGGTATCACCGTCAGCACCGTCTATCGCGGCAAGCCTAATATAAGCTAAATAGAAATGTAATAAAACAAAAGTGAATATAAATGAAAAATGCAAATAACAATTACTAAAGCTTATACCAAAATCAAAAGGAAAATGGAAAAAATTTTAATAAAAACTAATTCAGAATAATAATAAATACTGTGATAGTATGTATATAAATAATACTAAAAATAACATTGAAAAATGAATGGTATTTGTTTATTTCTTTTTATTTTAGTAATGGACTGGCACTGAAGTACCAGTGATTTTGACATCCCTAATCTGAAAGTACTAGCTAAAGAATGGGACAGAGTGATCTTTTCTAAATGTTGATTTTACAAGTATACATGGCATCGAAAGATTTGAAAACTGGTCGTTATGGAAGGAAATTTGTTATGCAATTTTGATGGTGTTAGTAATCCACAGTATTTTAAAACTGTGTTTTTCTCATAGTTCAAGGTCACATTGGCACACCACCCACACGAGTCTGTTTCTCTGTTGTCTCTCTTTTAGTATCTCAAAATTTGGCCTGTGCCGACAACATAAGCATGTCTTGATAAGTAACCCTGGTCTTATTGTGCACAGTTCATCAGTTCATGCTCTTCTAATAAAAATGTTTGGTTTCATAACTTGGCAATGAAACTTTTTGATACAACAAAGTACTTTCAGTGGATGGACTGAAATCTCTCTTATGGTTTTGGACTGGTATGAGGGTGACTAAATAACCGAATTTTCATTTTAGGGTGAACCATCCCATTAAAGGGGTCATATTACGTTGCTAAAAAAGAACATTATTTTGTGTATTTGGTGTAATGCAATGTGTTTATGCGGTTTAAGGTTAAAAAAAATCACATTTTCCACATACTGTACATAATTGTTTCTCCTCTATGCTCCTCCTTTCTGAAACGTGTCGATTTTTACAAAACTCATCGGTCTGAAAAGCGAGGTGTGCTGTGATTGGCCAGCTATCCAGTGCGTTGTGATTGGCCGAATACCTCAAGCGTGAGACGGAAATGTTACACCCCTCACCATACTGTGATGCCCTGTCCCGGTTTTAATGTTGAGACAAAAACATTAAAACCCATTATAAACGAGGCATTTGTTGCATCCAGTGGGGAAATAATTACGGATTATAATGACTTATACTGTCTTTTTATGCATTGCGTTCCATCGCGCGGTGTAAACCTAAAACCATGTCTGCATTTGTGATCGGAGAAATGACAAACAACAAGCGCTACTCTACACTGCCCAAAACTCTCGTTTGAATCGTCAGTGACAAATTCTTTAAATATGAAAACGTACTTACAGTCGGTGAGTCAGAACAGCCGGCATTGTAGTCTACTCTACCAGGTTCAGGAAACAGTCCTCCATAAAATGCACTGCACACATCCGAATAACTTAACCACTGATTTTGGAAGACCAAACAAAGTATTTTCGCTTTCGCAACGAAACACAGCGTCTTCACGGCATGGCGGTAGCAACAACAATACTACAGCGAGAATCAAAGTTACACCTTCTTTCTTTACGTGAACATTTGGACGGCGTTATGCAAATCTTCCCACAGGGAAGGGGGTGTGTTTAAACGAGGCGTTTTAGGGGGGCGTGGATGACTCTTAACTTTTATAAAGAATATATCTTTGGGTTTGAGACTTTAGTCTTTGCAACTTTAGGGATCTTATCTATTCAGGAACAGCTTGTAACACTCCAAAGAGAAAGGAAAACTTGAAATCGCATCATTTGACCCCTTTAATGTTAGACTCCTTTTCTGTGTTTGTTCAGGGTTTATTTCAGGAACCGCTGGGTGAAGACTGTGCACCCGGTGGTGCAGCAGTACTGCCTGATCTCCGGAGCGTACTTCACCTTCCAGATGCCCACGCGACAGGATGTAGAGCGCCACCGTGTGGCCGTGGTCACTCTCAGCACGTCCCAGTACCTCTGCCAGCTTGACCTGGAGCCAGGTGAGCAAACACACGCACACGTTCCTCGCTTTCATTCCTCATACTCTCGGAATGCTAAAGACATCGCTTGAAGCAAGTTTTCAAATCTGCACTCATCTGATTAAAATAGAAAGACATAACAGATCTTAGCTCAGCTGGACGCAGCCGCATTAAACACCACCTGCAGGAGCGATGCAGCGGGGTCCACAACGGTTTATTAGGAGAGGCTAATTTCCTCCTATGTGTCTGCGCACAGGATCATCTGTTGCTAAGAGTCCCGGCTTGCCTGTCTAACACACAGCATCATTAACACCCAACGCTGTCGTCTTTTCATTTTTCGTTTGTCTTCGCACTTTTCCTATCAGTTCAATTAAAGCCATTACTGCTGATTTCTGGCATCGTGTTAATGTGTTTTGACAAACATTTTGGGTTTGTATATCTTGTAGTCCAAATAATAGGCCTATTGATATATGTGACTCTGAACCACAAAACATAAGGGTCAATTTTTCGAAATTGAGATTTATACATCATCTGAAAGCTAAATAAATAAATAAATGGTAGTGTATTAAATGCAGAGTAATGGAATCAAAATCAAATTAACACAAAATTGTAAAAAAAAAACTTTTATCACAATATTGCTTTTCTTGGTGGATATATTGGCATTTCAGTAATTTCAATGTATTGAAGCAAAGTTTGACACCGTGTTCTGCATTGGATGGCACATCTGTGAGGTATGTGTCAATCACACACCTGCACTAAAACTAAACACCTGTTCCCGTGAGATGCTGCGTGCAGAACCTCCCCAATGGCATCTGATGCTAGATCCTTTTGTGTTAATGGCTGTTATCTATTATTGATGTCTTCTCCTGTGAAGCTCCATGTAATGAATATTTCATTCCTGTGTGTGTGTGTGTGTGTGTGTTTCTGAAGGGATATTCACACACATCCTGTTGGATGAGGCAGCCCAAGCTATGGAGTGCGAGACCATCATGCCACTAGCGTTGGCCAATAAGAGCACCCGAGTCGTCCTGGCAGGAGACCATATGCAGGTACCTGAGTGATGCCATCAGCACTGAGAATGGCAGCATTGCAAGGCGTCGTCCTTGTCTTAAAACCAGAGAATTATGTTCGTTAAAGTCAACACGAAGTCAAAATTGATCCTATTTGCTTCAGTAATTTCAAACAACTTTCTGTTCGATAAAACTGTTTTCATAGGGCCTTCATTTTCATTTTTGTAAATCTGATGGTCTCATTAAGTTATGCAAGTTTCATGATTTTAGTTAATTTGACTCTAGGGGGTAATCTATTAGACTGGCTGTCAAATGCGGCTTTATCGAGCTCAACGGCTCTGGCCCGAGCAAATATATACAAAACGCTATTGGCTGTTTTAAAAAAGGGGATGGGGCTTTTGACAGCCACAGTCTAATATATTACCGTCGCGTCTCTGGACCACAGCCAAAGTCCGGATCAGACTGTGCGCGCGGCCGTGGTTCGCGTGGAACAACGTGAAACCAGACCTCATTTGCCCCAATCGAAAGCATATTTGCACTGTCTGAATCCTTCCCTATCACCTGCATTGTACAGTACGTGCCATTCACTGTACTGGAAATACTACACTGTGAACAAAGCGACCGATCTCAGCCGCAGCTTCACCGTCTATTTATAGTGCGGGGGCGGGCGCTTCGGCTTCTAGAGAGCATTTGATTGGTCAGAAGACTTGATGAGAAGATGAAGTACGAGGTGAGCTGTTTTGGCGGAAGTGACGAACTGCAAGCTTTGAATGCTTATATCATATGTAAATATGTCCGATCATAAAACATAATCCTCCTGGGAGCAGTCAATCCATGATTTAAATGTAAAACGAGACTGTTTTCCTCAGGGACAGACAAGGCGCACTGCAGGCAAAAATTGAGGCTTATAGCCACACACACACACACAGACGGTACAGTCGATGCCAACAGTAACACATTTGCTGTAAATCCCTGTTTGGACGCCCAATCGTGTGTTTTGAGATTGAAATCTGACAAAACAGAACAAAAACGGCAGCCAAAGCACACTCTAAAGAATGTGTAAAATAGGGACAAACCCAGCAATTGGGTTGTATTTAACCCAGCAGACTTGATGAGAAGATGAAGTACGAGGTGAGCTGTTTTGGCGGAAGTGACGAACTGCAAGCTTTGAATGCTTATATCTTCTAAATCTGAATTTTGTCACTGTTTTGGAGCACACTGCTTTATAGATAACCTTAAGACTAACAGATTGATACTAACATCCAAAAAACTTTAATTTTGATTTCATGTAGACTTTAAGAATGGGAGAAAGTGCAATGTGCAATATGGCAGAATAGTCCCGCCTTCTGAATAAAAGAGCCAATCACTAATGGGTAAAGTCATCGCATCACTGCAGCTGCCGTTAGAAGCTCCGGTTGCTATAGAAACTGGCTGGTCTCGCCTGAGAAATAAGCTTTTTAGATGCTATTTGAGCAAAAGAAACCGGATTTATGAGACCGTTGTTGTCAGATTTCATTGGGGATTTGAAATGTAATCGTAAGCTTGGCGAACAGCTTTAGAGAATTTGGCGTTTCCCCATTCAAAGAGATGGGAGCTGCTCTTGAGTGACCGAAATAGCTAAACAGCCAATACATCTAGGTTCAAGAAATAGTTCATCCAAAAGTAAAACTCAAGACTGACTCGAGCTCGGTTAACCCAAAGGCCATTGTCTAATGTAACGCATTTAAGAGTGACTCTGAGCTTTCCTGTCTTCCAGCTCAGTCCGTTCGTGTACAGCGAGTTTGCGCGGGAGAGGAATCTGCACGTGTCTCTGCTGGACCGGCTGTACGAGCATTACTCGTCCGAGTACCCCTGCAGGATCCTGCTGTGCGAAAACTACCGCTCCCATGAGGCAATCATCAAGTAGGTGTGAACTTTTTCACACCACTCTTCCTGAGGAGAGACAGACATGCAAACACACAAAGCATTAGGGGGCCGTGCTGCTGCAGACATGATTACGCACACGTCTGCCAACAGATTCTCCCTCGCAGTCTCTCACGTTTACGTCTTTGTCTCTCTCTTCCTTTCTGCTTCTCTCTCCAGTTTTGCTTCAAGCTTTTTCCGTTTAACTTTTGGGTTGGTTTTTATGTGGATATACTATATGTATGACACAAATCAGAAGTTCTCAACTACAAGGACATAACTCATAATGTCAGACTGCAGGTAAAAAGCAATCTAAATCCAAATAATAAAAGGCAACCAACTAAATAATTGTGCATCGTTAGGGGAGTGAAATAAGTAGACTCATTAACTTGAAATGGGGAAAATGCTTCTCATTTTTTGTTGTCGTCCAAGGCCATACAATCGATTAAGCGATGTTTTTGTGCACATTCATCTGTTGCAAATGCCAACATAGACCGGTTCCCCTTACTGAATGAAATTACGCTGAACGATATATGACCCAGAACGCATTCAGTTAGTAAACATGGTAATACCAACATTTCATAATACCACAATAACACCAGAAATTCCCTTCTTTAAAATCCATGTTTCACAGGTTGGTTCACAGGCCAAAATATAAGCTTGCTGATTTTAGATTTGAAAATTCATGTCAAAAAAAAAAGAGAGGAAAAAAGTCAAAAATATATATTTTTTTAATGTAAATATTAGCATTGCATATCCTAAGTGTAAAATAAAAATGTAATTATTAAAACACAATTATTTTATTTTTTATAGTTATATTTAATGGGTCACACTATGAGAACCAAACCTCTAGGTGCTCATTAAAAGCAGACTGAAAAACATCTGTGCACCCCTGGTTGTCGATGACATTTCACTCAATTTAATAAAATTTTTTTGATGTGATTTAATTTTAAATACATTACAAACATGAGTGAAATGTTTTATATTTGGTATCTTTGCTTTAATGACAGCAGCACACGAGTTTGTCAGACCTGATGATCATGCTCTCCAGCAATATTTGTTTACTTTTGAGTTTCAGTGGCAACAAGAATCTGACCGTCTGTACGAAGGAGTCACATTATCAGTGTCACGAATGCGCTAGAAATAGTGGGGAATAATACTTTAATAACACTTTACAGAATAACACTTCACAATCAGCTCCTATAAGTTAGTGGAGGTTAATGCATGAACTAACAATGAGCAATACATATGTTACAGTGCATGCATTATTGTTAATATTTTGTTAGCTGATGTTAAATAATTTAGTTTGGTGTTAACTAATTGAACCTTATTGTACAGTCTTACTAATATCCCTTATTCATTTTGGATAATTCTATTAGTTTTACAAGTCCTCAGCTATATTTCACAGATATTCAATGTGGACCCAGACTTTGAACCCCGCTGTATATTCCTGAATTACTTTATGTAAATATGTCCGATCATAAAACATAATCCTCCTGGGAGCAGTAAATCCATGATTTAAATGTAAAACGAGACTGTTTTCCTCAGGGACAGACAAGGCGCTTCATACATCACTACACTATTGGCAATAAGCTGACCTTTTTTTGCCCTTGAAATGTCGCTAATATGGCCTCAACTTTACACCTTTCATTTGAGTAGAATATCGCAATGGAGGGCAGAAAATGTATCCATTTAAGAGAAAATCTATTATCGGGGGATTAAGCACTTGACATCTGGCAACCTCATGGAGACTTGATAGATAGTAATGCAAGATGACACAAATGTCAAATGAAAATGGTTTGAGAATAAATAACTAGCGGGGTAAATATCAAAGAGCAGAAATCGTGATCATGACTAAAACATGATTAATCTTGCAGCCCTAATAGTTTATCATCTTGGATTTTCACCGACCAGTTAGAAAGATTGCCTTTCTGCAGAAGGAAACATTCGATGCTACCTCACAATTTTGTCAAAGTGAGGTATCTTCGACATAATTGAGATGCCTAACATTTGACCGATATTCGCGTCTGGAATGTGCCCGTGCTGCCTTAAAATCAAAGGAAGATCACTAGGTTTTAGACCAGACCCCACGAGTCAGCCCAGAAGGGTGGCAGAAAGAGCAAGTTTACCCGACGGAAACTGGCTTTTTTGACTAAAGTGTTTAGGGTTCAGATCGCGCTACATGTGGAGAATAATGCACGGCAATCAGCTCTTTTTCTTTTTTTTTTTAAGTGCCGTTTATCGGTTTTTGCGAATGAACTCTTCAAATGTACATTATTCCAAAAAATATTTTTATTTTTTTTCTGCCGGCATCCAGGTATTTTTCAAATGCCGGTTTATGTTGCTATCGTATTGGATGACTTTTGGTAGCACCATTTAACAACATGCTAATTACAAAGAGCTTCTGCTGTCTGTAGGTAAGCAGTTCCGCGTGCTGTTCTTGAGCACCGTTCGCACCCGTCACACCTGCAAACACAAGCAGACGGCCATCAAGAGGAAGGAGCAGCTGGTGGAGGACTCCACTGAAGACCTGGACTACGGCTTCCTGTCCAACTACAAGCTGCTGAACACCGCCATCACTCGAGCGCAGTCCCTGGTGGCCGTGGTGGGAGACCCCATCGCTCTCTGCTCGGTGGGGCGCTGCAGGTAAGCCGGCACTTTTTAAATAGCCTTAAATGTGTTGAAGTAAAATGTAAACTGTCGATGGGGTTTGTTTCAGCATTTCTGCAATCTGAACCTAAACTCAAAAAAAAAAAAAAAGAGACATTGCGCTCTGAATGTTGTCGCACTCGCTGATGTGAATAGGCCTTAATCATTTGTGGCTAAGCCTGTCTGGATTAGTGGTCGAACGATATATCGCCTCGGCCGATATTTGGCTTTTTTCAAATATCTGCATCGGCCGATAAGTTTTTCTGTTTGGCCGATGAGAGCCGCAGCGCCTGCGCATGCAGTGTTCACATTCTCCATGTTCACTGTCGTCGTTAACAGTCGGGCGGTCGGTCCGTGTGAATTGAATATGGACAGGAGGAGAGTTCAGCTTCACTGGAGACGTGCGATCGACTAACTTTAAACTCATAATTTCAAATTATGCTGCACTTCATGCTTTTGCCCATGCCATATTTATGTCATTTTCACTGTGTGCTGCATGTAAAATGAGTGGTACCTTGGCTTTATTTGAAAAAATATGATTCCCAATGCACACAAACTTCCCCAATTACCGAGTGCCCTGTTGGTTGCGGTGTTTACTTCCTTTTTAATTATATTTTTATTGTATAAAAATTTATTTGTGAAAAGTATAAGAATTGAAATAAATAATAATAAAATAAATAATTATATCGGCTTTATATCGGCCACCGGCCACTCTGCTTCCCAAGATATCAGCATCGGCTGTCTAAAAACCAATATCGGTCGACCGCTAGTCTGGATGTGTGTGCTGGACAGACAGTGGCTCGTTGCTCTCTGGTTTTGGTGAGTACCTGTGTAGTAGGTGTCCCCACAGGAAGAGCTGTCCCTCTGCCTTCCCATCATGCACTTCACCGCTGTCAGATTAAACTAATACACTCCTCACGCACGGACGCTTCAGACATTGCTCCTGCAGGAGGGACATCAAATCGTTTGGCACCTCTCTTCAGGGTTCTGTTAGGAGGACGGTGTGAAGCTAATGCACTTGTTGCACAGAACAAACTATTCCCATAACACCCTGCTCACCCCAAGTAATGCCACACCAATGGGTGGTCAACCTACGCTGTCAAGATAATGGAGAAGGACTCGCCAAATCTTATCAAAGTGATCCAATGTGTTTAAAAAAAAAAGTAACAGATTTTTTTCTAAATGTCATAACTTTACCGTTTCTTTCACCCACTGTTTAACAGATGGGAATTTATTTATTTATTTACATTGACTTGTATATATGTTTCTTTGCAACAATAAGCCCGTAGGACATCAACTGCATTTGGCAGGATTTGTTTTAATTCCGTCTGATGGTTCTCGCTTAAGCGAACCGAGATGCTCCTCACTGCAGAACACAAGATCCAGGGGGCGAGGTTGGATCCAGATCCAACTCCTCCCACCTTACATGTACCTAAACCTACCCGTCTCCACCCCCTGATCCCTAAACCTACCATCTCCACCCCTAAACTTACCCGTCTCCACCCCCTAGATGTGGATCCAACCCCGCCCCCTGGATCTTTGTTCTGCTGTGAGGGGCTACTGAGCGAACCTGCTCCCGTGTCTTTGTTCATTTCTTGGAAGGAAGCTAGTTATTATATCACATTCTCAATGCAAAGCGATGTCTGTAGATCTGTCTGTTTGGAATCTCAGACTGATTTTGTTTCTGTGAAAAATGTCTAATTCTGTCATGTGAAATTGCGCACATTTTCTGCATGGAATTGCTTGATGACATTTGCAGTATGCAAAAAAAATAAAATAAATCTATATCTAGCTATAGCTATATCCCACAATGCACTGCGTCCAACCAGTGTAAGGAACCAAAAAAAAAAAATTCACTTTTTTTTTAACATCCTAATGAAATTTGATCAACCTGCCAAATGTTAAACCATTTTTAAAACCATTTAATTTGTATTCTTTTTTTTTTATCCATTCACTGAATTATACATGCGACATAAGGTTGTGATAACAATGTAATGCATTACGTTAAGAGCTCTTTATTCTGTCCTGTATCACATACTATTTTTTTTTCCTTCAAATATTGATTAAATGATCATCCTGGGATTGAAGAATCAATGGCAACACTTTAGATTAGGGAACACGCATTCACTATTAACCAAGTTTTCCCTCAATAAACTCCTAATTTGCTGCTTATTAACAGTTAGTAAGGTATAGTTAAGTTTAGCTATGGGGTAGGGTTAAGGGATCTAAAATATGGTCATGCAGAATAAGGCATTAATATGTGCTTTATAATTACTAATAAACAGCCAATATGCTAATGATATGCATGCTAATAAGCAACTAGTTAATAGTGTGTAGTGTTCCCTGATCTGAAGTGTTACTGAATAAATACAAGGTCGTCCAAAGAGCACAATTAATCAGAATTTTTTTTTTTTTATATATATATATATAAATTTAAACCTAGCCCTAATAGCAAAGCTACAAATACAAGAGAACAGTTATCTAGCTGGCAGGAAGGTAACAATCCCCTATCTCTGTGACCTTTGACCTCTTGTGTTTTAGCTCTTTGTGCCGGTTCTCTGACATGAATATGATGGTGTGTATTGCTGTCGGGCAGGGTTAGGCGTTGTGTGTGTGTGTGTGTGTGTGTGTGTGTGTGTTTATATTGGTGTGTTGGCACTCCCTCAGAGAGCTGTCTGTCACTTGGCTGGCAGCCCTCTGCTCCTCCGGCTCTATCCTCGCCGCTGTCGCTATGGAGACAGACTCGCATCAACCAATGGCTAGAGCCCGGCCACAGGAGATGTCAAGCCGAAGGGCCTGGCAGTTAAATCTGTGTGTGCGCTGAGGACTCTATGCTGTGAGCAAGCTGAATGGACAGTAGGGCTGTCAAAGTGGCTGAAAAATTTAATTAGAATTTTTTACTTAAATATTATCAATATTCAAATTATATTCAAATTTAAAAGGCATAATTTCAGTTAGGGGGAAAAAAGCTTTTGGCTTCTCTCCTGAGGCCACAAGAGGGCGCATCGAGCAAAATATTATGCACGTTTCTTCAAAGCGTAATAAAATAACACGACCATCTTTAAAAAAAAAAAAGTGCATAATGTTTACAATTATGTTTATAAACCATATATAATTAATAAAGTTGCTTGTTCATGCATGCATGCATGTATGCCTATAGTTTAATACAAAGGACCGAAAACCAATCACAAAAATAACTTTCTTCATTTAAAAACGGGAGATGCAGTGGGATGGGGAAAACCGCCATAAACCGCCAATAGTTGAACTTACATTAATTTTACATGGCTTTCTAAACATGCTGCTCTCTCGTGCGAGTGCAACGCTGATAGATGTCCCTCTAGAAAATGCGATGAATATGCGTTCTGTGTGAACGGCTTGGTTTCAGTTTTGACGTAAACCACAACATCTCCGCACTGATTGTTCTCTTTTTCTGCAATGTTTTGAATGAACAACAACTGGATAGGCTAACAAAAACATTGCATTGTCGTCGCATTTCGTGCGCCACCGATAAAAAGCGTTCGAAAAACGTTTTTGCATTCGAATGTGGATTTTTATTTTAAATTAGACGAATATTCAAAATTCTAATATTTTTATTTTTTTGGCAGCGCTAAATGGACAGCTTTGTTTAACTGACTTCAGTAATCGAAGCGTTGACCTCATGACATGACGAATGATGGCCACTCCAGCTGAAGTGCTTTGATGGTTCCAACATGTTTTGTAATGTAAAGTATTTTTTGTTTTTATAGATCAATATATGGTTTAATTTCATGAAAACATGTTCAAACATTTCAACCCAATTATAAAATATTACTTTTATAACAGTTTTAATTTTTGTATATATATATATATACACATAGTTTTATTTTTTTATGAATTTACTTATGTATATGTATAAAAATATTTTTATATACATATTAAATGTATGTATTTATTAATGACCTAAACATGTTTTTGAGAGGTTTCATGATATTTCCTTATTTACATATGACAGATTAATATGTGTTTGCTGCAGTTCTTAGCTGGATGTTGTATAATAACCCCGAAACCTAAAGAAAAACAAATTATATTTACTGGATACTGGAGTTAAGACTTTTTTAGGTTAAAATCAGCATTACAAAAGTACCACAACGAAGTATAAATATTAAAATGTATTATTTAAACTTATAAAAAAAATACTTTTATAACATTTTATTGTATAACATTTTTATTTTTGAATTATAATGAGAATTTTGGCGGTCAAATGTAACATTGTCATGAACATGTCACAATGGGGGAAAAAATCTTTATGATTTTAAAAATAGGCTTTAATTTATTAAATACTTTTTTTTTCGTATATATTTGGGGTATTTTCCCTGTCCCAGACATGTTCTTGATGGGTTTTCACAAGATTTCTTTATAAATCTATGGCAGATAAATATGTGTTTGCTGCGGTTCTAGATGGCTGCTGTATAACAAATCCACTGTCTACAAGCTGTTTTGCATCTAATTCAGTCTGTCACTGTGGCTTCAGCTTGTCAACTCCTCATCAAGCTCCTGATTATTTCAATCAGTTCCGCTTCCTCAAGGCCTCATCATATTATCTGAAATGAGTTCTGCTGTCTGAGGAGGAGGGGGCACAAACTATTGCTCACGGAGTTGGCATGCATTGCGAACACTAACTCAACTTGATGTGTCGAACTGTATGGTGCTGATATTGCTCGCGTTGTTGTTGTGTGACACTGGAAGATGTAAACGTGTGTAGCGCTGCTGTGATCTCGACAGATTGCCCATCAGGGACGGTAAAGTATAGCATGTCTGCTTGAGTTCTTGTTTAGAAGTTTGTGCATTAAACTGACAAGTGTGTAAACCCTTAAAGGGGTCATATGACGTTTCTAAAATAAAATATTATTTTGTGTATTAGGTAGAGCCCGACCGATATGTTTTTTTGGGGCCGATACCGATATTAGGGAGTAAAAAAAGGCCGATATTCTTTGTGTATATTATAGTACAGTACCTGTCAAAAGTTTGGACACTTTCCCATTCGAGGGTCCAAACATTTGACGAATATTATTTTGTGTATTAGGTAGAGCCCGACCGATATGTTTTTTTTGGGGCCGATACCGATATTAGGGAGTAAAAAAAGGCCGATATTCTTTGTGTATATTATAGTACAGTACCTGTCAAAAGTTTGGACACTTTCCCATTCGAGGGTCCAAACATTTGACTGGTACTATATATAGAATACAGTATATACATAAACAGAATATATATACATAAACAAATTTTTTTGCAATGATCACTCAAATGTGGTGATCAAACACTTATGACCTGACAAAAATACGTAATGATGGAGGCAGGGCATTTAACAATTTAACAATAAACTTTATTATCCAAAATGAGTCTGACGTCAGTGCACTGAACAGTAAAGTTGAAGTTTATTCAACTTTAATTCAATTCAATTCCATTCGACTTTATTCCGTTGAAGATTATTTCACTTTGGAACATTCATTCACGGATTTGCGCTACTGTCTTCACACACAGACGAAACTTACTAGAGAAGTGTGAAGTGTGACATAATATACCTCTGTAAATAAATACAATTTCACGTATAAATTCACGTCTCGCGCACTTTAATGCCCTTTGAATGTAACGTGTACGTTCCCTTGGAACTGGAATCATGGCGGAACATCATGTGAAGTCCACTTCGCAGGGCACTTACGGTCGTATAAGCCAACGCTTGAATGCTGCCTGAACAAGATATCTCCTTACTGAAGTGAAAGTGTTGACTGGTGTCACTATCTCGCGAATACGCCGGTGGATCTCCACCAAATTCGGGGGATCCCTTCAGCTCGAGGAGCCATCTCGAACGCCACCCTCCGCGCATCGGTAGCCCCCCGGGATCGCTTGATCGGTCGGCGCCGGGAATTTAACCACCCGTAACTCCCGAATCCCGGGGGCTATCAACGCGGGGGTGGTCTCATTCGAAAGCGGGCCTCTAGATGATTCGCGTTCGAGAGGGTTCCTCGAGCTGAAGGGATCCCCCGAATTTGGTGCAGATTCGCCACGCCGTTACGGAGATATGGTCGTTCAAAGTTTCAATGGTTTTCCATAGACTAAGCTTTAAAGTGTTTCATCCAGGTAGCAAACAATAGAGCTCTGCTGGACAAACTAAGTAATTACACCATTTCAAGCATTTTATCTGCTTTATATGTTCTGTAAAAGTAAATGTTAATATCGGCGGCTTATACGCCAATACCGATATATCGGCGACAGGCTCATATCGGCCGATAATATCGGCAAAACGATATATCGGTCGGGCTCTAGTATTAGGTGTAATGAAACATTTATGCGGTTTAAGGTTAAAAAAACACATTATTTTCCACATACTGTACATTATTGTTTCTCCTCTATGCCCCTCCTTTCTGAAACGCGTCGATTTTTACAAAGCTCATCTGTCTGAAAAGCGAGGTGTGCTGTGATTGGCCAGCTATCCAGTTTGTTGTGATTGGCCGAATACCATATTCAGTGTGACGGAAATGTTACGCCTCATATTCACGGATAAAACATTTTGGCCCCTCATGGCCCCCTCTTTACTAGAATTGCCTCAGGCTTAAACTCACATCGGTCGACCACTGATGCTGTCAAGCAATCCCGACCTGTGCATTATCTTCAAGCATCTCTTAGCAACCTTAAACTCCCCAAATTATTGCAGCTTCAAATGCTACAAGAGGCAGGAGAGATCAGCAGCTAAATTACACGGTGACGCATCGAGTTTCTCCAGCTCTGAGTCATGGTGGAGGTCTGAGATTGATGTCACTGGAGTCAGGATTGTGAATTTGCCCTTTCCAAGCTGCAGCGATAATGAAATACAGCAATTAGGGGGAGAATCAGTCATATTTCTGTCTTGCCATGTGTCAGTGGGGCTTTACCAGTCAGCCGTGAGATCAGATTTGGTTTCTGAAGTTGCGTGTTAACCTGCTTGTGTGACTTTGATTAATTTGTAACTCAATAATTTGATGCACGACTCTATTGTTTTCACTCTTGACCGAGTGACCGAGTCACTAACTCCAGTCTGAATACGAGCAGCATCTCATTTCCTTCTTCAAGGGTTCCAGTTCTATGCCTTGTTTTACATACTGGATTAATAATAGATGCTTTTACCCCTCGGCGATTCTCAGAGTGGAAATCTGTACTGTAGAGTAACTAGCTAAAAGTAGTTATCTGACTAACTCAAGCAACAAGCAACGGTGCAGCACAACAAAGCACTGTATTTCTGGTTTAAAAATCACATCGTATTTCACACACAAGTCTGAAAACTGTGTGAGCTGAAGGAATAACCAGATGCTTTCTTAAACTGTTCTCTTTCTTTCTGTGGAATCGGAAAGTCCAATGAATTCTAGTGAAGGAGTTTTCAGACAGTTCATGTAAATTATCCCATTTAAGCAGCAGTCCCTGCATGGCATTATAATTGTTGGTTTCTAATCGTGAAACATTTCTTAAAAACTGCTCTTTTACTTAGTTTTAGACTCATAATCAATAAAATATTAAGTAGTGCAAGTTCAAAGCTGTTCAAATTTAATGCTGCGCCCTAACTGAAAAAACAATATGGCTTTTATTAAATATTTTAAATCATAAGATATTGCACCCTTAAATAGCTTCAATGTTGTAAAGTACTTTTGTTAGTAGCTTGTAGTTTTGATAACTACGGTTTAACTGCATTTGAGCTACTTTAAATGAGTAGTTTGTAGTATCTGAAATGCTTGGGTGATGCTCTTATGGGCGGCTGTGTTGGTGTTGGGAGGTGTTTTAGGTTTATGAAGAGTGTTTCTGATTCACTGTTTTTGTCCCAGGCAGCATTGCGTTTAGATTATTTTGGTACTTGAAATGTGGCTTATTTTAGATTTTGATTGTGCTGTACTGATTAGTCACGAGCCATTTGAAAAGGTTATGGTCAAGTAGTTTATTTTTGTCATATGTGATTTTGGGGCAAACGCTTTCAATAGCTATGTTTCCATCCACCTATTTTTATGCTCATTTTGGATTATCGCATAAAAAAACGCTGTATGGAAACACCAAGATGCGCATAAAATCTAAAAATGTGCATAAAAAACGTATGCGCACAACTGAGTAGGATAAACTTCTTATCCGATAAGAAAAAGTGCGCATAAACTACGATGGAGAAACATTTACTGAATAAATTCCACCATGCGCATTGAAAAAGTCATGTGACTTTGCGCTATGAGACGGGATAAATTGATCGAACCAGCGGACCGATCTCGTTTCAATGCATCTATATGTTGTTTTGGTCGTTCTGAAATGCCTGAGCAAAGTTTGCCATCAAAGTATTTCTGTATAATTACTGTCTAACACGACTGCGTTCCCAAACAGAAGGCATCCACCTCTAAACGCAATGACTGCATTTATTGTGTTACGTCTGCTCTCTCTGAAGCGCAAGTCATTTATTACAAATGAAAATTATTATATTCAGTGGCTTCTCCTAGTTTTCTTAGAGATATTTGGTGCCAGTTTATCAGGAAGTGACGATTTTGTTCTCTTTGACTCGTTGGATGGAAACGGGGCTTTATTCGCAAATGTTTTAATGCGATATTCCAGTTTTGCGCGCAAGTTAATTTTGCATCTTTGGTTGGAAACATAGCTAATGTTTTTGTCTGGGGTTTAACAGTCAGGCTGCAGCTGACTGGACGATCCTTACACAGCAGCAAAAGATTCATGTTGAAGCTTTTGGGTAAATTTAGCATCCCTAATGAAAATTGACCATGGTTTTATTATAGTAGAAGCATAGTAACCATGGATTTTTGGCATATTGATTACCATTTGTATAACCACAGTTTTACTACAAATATCATGGTTAAACTATAGTAAACATGGGTAATTTGTGGTTACCATGGTTTAACTATAGTAGCTAGGGTTTTTTTGGTTTTATTTGTAGCAAAACCTTGCTTGATTTTTAGCTGGCTGTGCACAGGAATGAACACAAAGTAATATACTGTCTTTCTTTTGTAGATGTTAAATAGAACCAAGGGGAAAAAACCATTCACAATTCAGTAGGCCGTTATTATAATGGCTTTGTCAGTAGGATTTTAAGGAAATGCTATAGTAATGTAAGGCAATAGGAACATTTTAATTGTATTTTTTTAAATCTCTAAAGTAAAAATAAAATGAATGCAAAAAAAAATGCTTTGGAATCACTGTAGATCAGTGATTTATTCAAACATTCCACATGAATTGATTTGGAATTTGAATTAGAATAACAGGAAGAGTAATTTAATTACAATCCAAAGAAGTTTAACACCGGGAAATGAAATGTTCTTCCACCCTGGTCAACAAAAGATACTTTATTTAATATGAAGAACTATTTAAACCAAATAGAAATTCTATAGTTGACTTATGACTATCTGTCATTGTTTCCCAAACTTTTTAAACAAGGCATTGTCAAGCATTATCTTGACAAACTTTGCTTTTCTAGTAAAAAATTAAGTGAATTTCTTCCGTTGTTTTTCCTCAATTCATTGTAATTTTATTTTCATTCAAATTCAAGCTGCAATTCAGTATAATGTTTGCTAAACTGTCTTCATTCTCACTTTAATTTTAAATGGGACCCAACCCTGTTAGTCTGAGACTTATTAGTGGTTATTTTAATAAATGATTGAAAAAGACTTACAAACTGACAGGTTACTGGTTTGAAGAATCCTTTCCTGAATTTAGAGTCGAATCTGCCAAACAGCTAGCTACTGAATCAACATATGACTTGGTTACGGAACTCTATTTTGCATTTACAATTTCCATTCCTTTTTTTTTTTCAGATTTTGCTTTTAAATAAATATGTTGGTCTTAAGAATCTCTAGGTGGGTCCTAGCATAAAGTTTGGGAACTTCTGCTCTAGATTGAACCACCTTGGTTTTCTTTTGTGTTGATGGTGCATATATAGTGAGTTTAATGATGAGTGCTGTTTTTACTTAAAATCTCTGCATCCTTTTGGTCCTTCACAGAAAGTTCTGGGAGACCTTCATCTCCATCTGTCATGAGAACCACAGTCTCCACGGCATCACCTTTGAACAGATTAAAATCCAGCTGGAGGCTCTGGAGCTGAAAAAGACCTACGTGCTCAACCCGCTGGCCCCAGAGTTCATCCCTCGTGCCCTGCGCCCGCAACATCCCCAGGGTCCCGGCAAGCACCAACACTCCCCACCCAAGGTACGAGTCTTCATCCTGTACAAATCCCAAACACTAATAATCAGATTACTTAGAGATTTGATGAAACCCCTTAATAGGCCTGGGCGATAAAACGGTATCGCTATTTATCGACGGTACACCTTCTTCGATAACGATATAAAAAAATATAGTGCACGATATAGGCACGTGCTATGAGTGACGCACGCAGCACACACAAACACGAACACATGCTGAATTGAGTGCTGTGCCTGCCTGTGCTGAGGAGATTGTAAATAATGAATATTAGTCGAATTTAAAATAAACATTTGCAATGTTAGGAGTGCGTCGTCAGTGGCACGCGAGATGCGGTGATGATGTTAGTGACGTTGTTGTATTTTAATGTTTTGTTGGTGTAGCCCACGAGACGCGCCGCTGCTGCGTTATTCATTCAAAATATTAGAGAAATATAGAAGCTCAATGCGGAGAAGATCTTGATTAGGTTAAAACTGATACTAAGCCATTCACACAACGCATATTCAGCACATTTTTTTAGTCGGACAAATACGACTGATGCACTCGCGTCTCAGAGAAGAGATGTATAGAAAGCCATGCAAAGTTAAAACCATTTAAACTTTTAGAAAACACGTCACGAATTTGTGGAGGTTATGTCATATGTTTTAAATGCAATCTGCGTGAATGGCGCTTCGGCTCTTTGGATTAAGCAATGCATAAATAGATGATGCTGTTTTGTTCGTAATTGTTTATGCAATTTACAAAGTTATATTTGATTTATAAGTTAATTTTGACGTAATGCACGGTTTTTTTTTATAGAGTTACTTCCTCGCGTTGACTATTTAAATGCGCTGCATTATTTTGTTCATTGCGCCCTCCTGTGGCCTCGGGAGACAAGCCAAAAGTTTCTTCAAGACCTATTTAATCTGCATATAAAACATTAGAAATTAGATAATTGTTTAATTTTTATTTTGTGTTTGTTAAAACAAAAAATGTGGTGTTTGTCTCAATAAATTGAGTTAATTTGAAAATACAGGGGTTAAATTTAAACTTTTTTTTCTATTGCTCTTAGTTTTAAAAAAGGTTATAAAAAAAGTCAATAATTATCGATATCGAATGATATGAAACATTATATCGTTGATATATTTTTTAAGCTATATCGCCCAGCCCTACACCTTAACTAGTCCGAAGCAACACCAAGAACAATCCAGACTCTCATAAACTGTTTTTCTGAATGAGAAAAGTAGCTGTTCTGCCCTTGATTTTATTAAGTTCCTCTTCCATTTCACACAATGTCACAATTGGGCTTATAGCCCCTTCAGGCCTCCTCACAATACAAGAAATTCCTACTAAATGGGCCAATTTTATATCTCATTGTGCACGGAAAGAAGGACGTGACAGTCGCAACGTCTGCTTGGATACGGTCAGTGGCGTCCACGGCGGAGGGTTTGATATGACGTGCTGTGATGTGGAGTCATGCACGCTCTCCCCCGCTGACATTAGTAAAAGGGTTTGGCTCTATATAATAGAAAAGATTTTCAATCAGGTCCTGAATTTCGGTGCAGGATTGTGCATATATCACACAGTTTTACTCGTTCCTGCAGGTTTTCGGGTTTATAAGGCAGGAAATTCCCACAAACATTTTATATTATATGTACATTTTATATAGCATGTAGGTTAGATGTAAATAAATCCAGATAGAATATCAGATCAAACCAGTCATTTGAAAACGGCGTGTTTCAGCTGTCCCCCTTCTTCTCTCTTTCACTCTCTCGAAGCGGCTTCACATCAGCACATCTCATCTGCACTACAAGAGAGCTACTGCACGCTGCAATACGAGACATTCGCTCACGTTCGGGACAGTTAACAGAATTGTCACTTGCCTAATTGGGCCACTGTTGCATCGTCACAAAACTGTATCATTTGCACATCTTTTTAAGTCTTTTAAAACCATTCGGTATTTGCACGCTCCAGAGATGAGTTTCTGCGTGCTCAGTCACATCCAAAGAGCGTGCACATAAAGCCGCCTCGAAAACACCTTGCAAGTACCGAATTGAGTTATTTTTTGCAGCTTATTGTGCTTAAACGGCCAAATACACACAAAGTTGTCAAAATGCCTGTCCTGGCGAGTATCCTGGTAAACACAGTCGAATTAGTCTTAAGTGAATGTAAGCAGTTAAGAAAGAAAACGCATGTGTATCAGTATATTGGATCCCTGCATCCATGATAAATTTCAACATAGATTTTTATATTGCTTCTACATGTATACTTGTAAAATAATGGAACATTAGGTCATGAATATAGTCTCAAAAGTCATGGAAATTTAATCAATCAATCCTCAGTCCTAAGGGGAGGAAGGTAAACATGCCAAAAATAGATGAGTGAGGAGACTTCCTCTGCCCTCTTTTTTTCTGTAGCTCACATTTGTTTCTGTTTCTCCTCACCCCCTCCGTTTCCTTTGGACTAGCTATAGAGGATTATTGGCTGCTTGATTTAGTGGCTTCAAAGTCCAAGTGTTTTATTGGTGAATCTCACAAAACCAGCTCAAGTCGTGTTTCAACAAGCCTATTTACAAAACTTTTAAGATTTTGTTTGTAGATACTTTTTTTTTTATATATATATAGAATATGCATACCTTACACCATAAAAATGTGCAACATTTTACTACCAAATTATATGTAATATCTAATTAATTTAACTTAAACTGGAAAGTTTTTCTCGACATCTCACGATATTGAGCTTCGTGAGTTCCTATCGCGATGAATGATGGGTTGTGCTTAGACATAAATACCACTCTGAAGTGATATATTATATCATCACAAATAATCCCCTATTAACCCACACGACTCCAGTCCATCAATTAACATCTTGTGAAGTGAAAAGCTGTGTGTTTGTAAGAAACAAATCCATCATCAAGATGTTTTTAACTCATACCCGTTGCTTCTGGACAAAATATGGATCTTTTATCCATAACATTGCTTTCTCCAGTGAAAAAGTCATCTCATATGAATCAGGAGAGAAATATGCACAGATGTAGCACTGTTTCAAACACAAGCACGGTGCAAAACAAGTACAGTGGGTACGGAAAGTATTCAGACCCCCTTAAATTTTTCACTCTTTGTTATATTGCAGCCATTTGCTAAAATCATTTAAGTTTGTTGGATTTTGATGTGAGGGGATTTAAAGTTAAAACATCTTGATGGATTTGTTTTGTTTCTTTACAAACATGCAGCTTTTCTCTTTACAAGCTGTTCAAACTGACGGACTGCAGTGGTGTGGATTGCTTGTGGATTATTGTGATGTTTTTATCAGCTGTTTGGACTCTCATTCTGACGGCACCCATTCACTGCAGAGCATCCATTGCTGAGCAAGCGATGCAATGCTACATTTATCCAAATCTGTTCCCATGAAGATGAGGGTGAGAGAATTTTAAAGGGATAGTTCACCCAAAAATGACAATTCTGTCATTAATTACTCACCCTTGTGTCGTTCCAAACCCGTAAGACCTTCGTTCATCTTCGGAACACAAATGAAGATATTTTTGATGGAATCTGAGAGCTGTCTGACCCTCCCATAGACAGCAACGCAACTGAAATGTTCCCAAGTCCAGAGACGTAGCAAGGAGATCAGTAAAATAATCAGGGGTTCAACCGTAATTTTACGAAGCTACGAGAATACTTTTTGTGCGCAAAAGAGAAAAAAAAGACTTTATTCAACAATTCGTCTCCTCCGCATCACCCTGTAAACAGCGTATGCTGTTCTGTGTCAGCTGCGTCACACGGATCTGTTTACTATGTTGTTGTGATTTGATCTGAACGGAAACAGCGTATCCGTGTGACGCAGCTGACACAGAACAGCATACGCTGTTTACGTCCAGCGGATATTCTCCAAAATGGCACTATAGGGTGATGCCGAGTTGTTGAGTAAAGTCGTTATTTTTCTTTCTTTTGCGCACATAAGTGTTCTCGTAGCTTCGTATATTTGCGGTTGAACCCCTGAAGTCACATGGATTATTTTATAGATCTCCTTGCTATGTTTCTGGACTTGGGAACATTTCAGTTGCGTTGCTGTCTATGCAGGGTCAGACAGCTCTCAGATTCCATCAGAAATATCTTCATTTGTGTTCCGAAGATGAACGGAGGTCTTACGGGTTTGAAACTACATGAGGGCGAGTAATTAATGACAGAATTTTCAATTTTGGGTGAACTATCCCTTTAAGCAAATTAAAGTTTTTGGGTGAACTATTCCTTGCAGGGCACTGAGCTTTGGCATTTTTCAGATATGAGACAATCTTGCACACCTGTCACATGCATGCGCTCTCAAGTGGCCAAGTCGTAAATATGGGTATTTGCCCATCATATACATTCTTGGTTTGATTTTGCTTACCACCCTCCCAGTTTTCGCAATCTTTGTATCCTTAACACAATAACAATGATTTCGCCACAGCAACCATAACTTAAAAGGAACGATATCAATCTCAGTCCAGCACAAGCTTTGCCATACACACCAAGGAGGGAAGAACTCAAAACCCAGTTCTTTACCAAATAACCACCATGTTATGGTCCTCTCTGATGTATCTTGATTGGAGTGTGATTATTATAGACATCGCCACCAATTTCATTCAACACTTGGCAGGTGCGTCCCCATTTTTTTCCCCAGGCTTTATACAGAAAGTGCCTCATCTGTTGCTATTGAGATAAGTAGCGTGATCGGTGATTCCCGCAAACGTGCTGACCCCAGAGCAGCGGTGCTCGGAGCTGCCAGGACTCGGGCCAGCAGAACGCCTCAATCGCCCGTTGATGCTGTCAGCATGTCATTCTGCATGCACTCATCGACATTGATCTGTTTTGAAAAGGCACGCTTTCCCAACGGATCGCATCAATACGTAACAAACCAACAACCAGATCCAAAGGGAAAAATCAAGCATTGTGTTCCATTAATGCGTAAGTACTGTCAAGATACCACATACTGTATGTTATTGTTATAAATTCTAATATTAAATACAGCTGTAATAATATTATTAGAATATTATTAACAAGTAATTTGTACAAAAACAGAAATAAAATAATCTGAATAATAATATAAGTATAAATGCATATAAATAACTAATATATATAAATAATATAAATGCATTATAGATATTTTTAATTTACTAATATGTACGCATTTTTATAATAATGTATTGGCATCAATACATTAATAATGTCAGCTTTAACTGTGTTTTTCATAGGGTTAGAGTTGATATTGTTGATATTTAACATATAATATGATTGGCATTATTAATATACTTCCAGCCTCACTTCTCGCCCAATCAAAACACGATCCCGCCGATAATGTGTGGCAGCAGCGACAACTCTCCCTGAATTGCTTCCTTGGATTGCCATGTGTCTGGGCCAGGTGTGTGTGTGTGGGTAGTGTGTGCTGTTCAGCGTTCGAGGACATTTCGGGATGACCCTGAAATTGTTAAAGCTTAAGGTGTATCGGGGCGTAGATTTTAGATCAGACCTATTGAGCTAAAGGTCTTTAGGAAAACCAGGGTGTGCACAAAGGAACTGCACACGAATCGGTATTGGGTGACTCCATGAAACAATAAGAACAGTTGTTAGAGAATTACAAAAATTGTGAAAAGGCCAAAAATATTTCACGATAATGCAGTTACACTCAATGGGACAAGGTGGTCAGGAGGGTTTAAAGGATGAGATGTGCAGCTCTTATTTTGGCAAAAATGCTTTTGTGAAATATTCAGTATACTTACTAAAATGCTTCTTAATAGATGTCTACTGTGGATGAAAACCAACCTAAAATGTTCCTTTAAAATAATGTATTTCACATCAGGCCCGGTTTGCATTGGCTTAACAGTTCATACTTTTGCCTGTACTTTCACTTACGTTACACTGTAAAAGTTTTTGAACTTGGTGAACTCTGTCTTTTGGGGTTGTGTTGTGCTGATTTGCTGTCATTCTTTAGGGAAAATCGACATTAATGGGAAAACGGAGCATTGTAGGCTGCTGACACCTGAGAGGAAAGCCCCTGAGCTGAAGGAAAAACAGGTACCATCCATCCGCCCGTTCTCTTTTTGTATCTATCTATCTATCACACGTCCTTCCCGGTTTAATCTGGAGCCGCCCACTATGCCTTCCCACAAGAGCACTTGTAACATGGACCATCTATCTTCACTCGTCCCCGGCATGCTCAAAACACTTCAGTTCTCCTACTCTTTTACACCCTCCATTAGCGTCACATGTCCGTAACGATTGTACTTTCTCCTCCCCTCAGGGAGACCCAGAGTCGGTGCAGAATAAGAGTCCAGAGCCCCAGTCCAACATGGGCTTCCCTGGCAGCCGCCTCATACGCAAAGACCCGCAGGCCCAGAGGGCCCTCAACTTCCCCCTCGGCCCCCCACATCCCGGTTTCCCCCCTCGCACGCCCCCCTGACCCTGTGACTATAGTTAGCACACTAGATGCGTAAGACCCCCTTCCCTCCTCACTTTCCCTACACGGGCTCCTTCATCCTCTAGCACTGTTTCACTCAAACCCTCCTCTTCCTCTTCCCCCACAGGCGAAAGGACAGCTGGGCAATCACACTGAACCCTTCCCCCCTGAAGGCTTTGGTAAGTCTCTCTCTCTCTCTTTGACCTCTTGTTCTTGAAGGTTTGAACATTTTCACCCAGGCTTCTCTTAATGTGTGAATGTGCTCTCATTACGTGTTCTCTAGCTCTGAAATGCTACAGCGTAAGGTTGTCATGATACCGTAATCACATCAATACATGTCAATGTAGGCAAATATTTTTGGCAACACATTTAGTATATGGGTAACAAATAAACAACCAAATCCAAAGGGGGAAAAAAGGGCATTTTATATATATTATCATACTTCGATTTATCATGTACACTAGGATTGACATTATTAATGTATAGTAAAAAATGACATTTGATATAATATATTAATATAAAATGTTTTTAATAATAATATCCCAATATTTGGTACAATTAATGTGTCCCTGTCCCTAAAAACCTAAAAGTTCAGCTTCACTTTATCATATTTGATGTGCTTAATGTGTGTGCGTTGATCAGTGTTTATATTCAAGCATTATGCAAAAAAAACCTTGTATTGTTTATATGTAGTATTATACAAGTCTAAATTAAATGTTGTAAAAAAAAAATTATTTTTAAAATAAAAATTTTATTGCAACAATAATAATTTTACTTCATTTATTGCGATTCATTTTTATTCACCAAAGTAATGTAGTTGATTTACTTTAATTTGATTTAATTATTTTTATTTATTTTTTGTAATGGCAGACACTTTGGTTTATATTTTGGTGGACCAAAAAAAATAGTAGCAAGTACTGTACATGCAATCGTGGTACTATATTTCAAATTCTACCATCTGAAAAACAGTCCTGCACTTTAAAGGGCTTTTCACACTGAGCGCGAAAATTCGACACGAATGTTCGGCACGATGACGCTATGGGACTATTCACACCTGGCGCGAACATTCGTGGCACGAAAAAGTTATGATTTTTTTTCACCTTGTGCGTCCAATTATATTTGAGCTTAAATCACGTGACCGGAGCAGCTACTGTTGCTCGAAAAGGCAAAGAGTGGTGGCGCTGTTTGGCTCTTAATTTAATTTCTATTAATTCTTCGCTGAATTATGTGAACTGGCATGTCCGTTTTCTTCCACGTGAGCGAGTGTTCGAGCGCGTTCACTCTCTAGATCTTCCATATTTAAAAACAATTGAGTGAAACATTTTTCTACACATGAAATATGAAAGCAAAATAGACATGATTATGACGATATATTTTCTGTGTGTGTTTTGTATGCAACTCATGGTATTTTTATAACAATAAAGGATGTTTATGACAAATGATAAGCAGCGTGGCGTTATTAAACATAGAAAGAGTGCATGTCTGCTTATTATAGAATCAAAGTCAACTATAGATCACAATCGGAAGTTATTACAAGCACTCAATGATGGTTTAAAGTGGGTTTTAAGCAAATACATTAATAATTAAATTTTCAAATGTGGCTTCATGCTTTTAAGATGTTTTCTTGTTAGCATTATAGATAGTTTGTGTTTCTGGCATAGAACCCCATTTTATTTAGCTATATTCATTTAATGCTGTATATTGAGCAGCGGATAATGTTGAATCTATATGAGATACATATCTGAGGAAAAATGCATTGTTGTTCGGCGCCACCTAGCGTGCAGGCGTGAATTAGCAGAAGGCGATCAATCGTTTCGTGTTCGGTGTGAAAGCACTGTTCGTCAGCGATTCGCATCGCTTTTGCGCATCGCACTCAGTGTGAAAAGGTCGTGAGATTATATACCTTGGCACTGGTGTATTTTGCAGCAGGTTCTATGGTGTTAAACGTTTGTATAGGACACCACTTAAGATTAATTTGAGGTGGTCAAAGCCACTTCACATTACCCGTTTAACATTCATATGGAGCAGTTACCTGGAGAATGTGACGGAGAGGTCAGCAGCTGTATTAGCCCCTCGTGAAGCAAGGAGATGTTTTCACAGCCTTTGACCTCTGATTGGAGAGTTTGAGGATATTATTGGTGTGATGTGACAGTGCTGTCAGAACAAATCGAGGTCATTAGTTTGTGGAGCGCCGCTTGAGTGATTGTCGAGGCAGAAAGTGAAGACCGAGAGCGAGAGCATAGAGAGAGACGAGATCGGTCAAGTGGATCCAACTTCCTTCCAGCCTCACTTCTCGCCCAATCAAAACACGATCCCGCCGATAATGTGTGGCAGCAGCGACAACTCTCCCTGAATTGCTTCCTTGGATTGCCATGTGTCTGGGCCAGGTGTGTGTGTGTGGGTAGTGTGTGCTGTTCAGCGTTCGAGGACATTTCGGGATGACCCTGAAATTGTTAAAGCTTAAGGTGTATCGGGGCGTAGATTTTAGATCAGACCTATTGAGCTAAAGGTCTTTAGGAAAACCAGGGTGTGCACAAAGGAACTGCACACGAATCGGTATTGGGTGACTCCATGAAACAATAAGAACATGTTCAGGTTATACTCCACCTAAAAATATGTTTTTAGTTTAATGGAGTGTTACTTTTATTATTTAATTTATTTATTACTTTGTCGTGTCATGATTATTATGAAGTAAATGTGCTTAATTGTCATTAAATGTCATTAAGGTCACAGTGGATTCTTCCATTCTTTATGCAATATACAGTGTATATGTGTATATGTATTTGTGTATGTATATGTGACTCTGGACCACAAAACCAATCATAGGGGTACATTTTTCGAAATTGAGATTTATGCATCCTCTGAAAGCTGAATAAATAAGCTTTCCATTGATGTATGGTTGTGTTAGTATAGAACAATATTTGGCTGAGATGCAACTATTTGAAAATCTGGAATCTGAGGGTGCAAAAAAATCTAAATATTGAGAAAATCATCTTTAAAGTTGTCCAAATGAAGTTCTTAGCAATGCATATTACTAATCAAAAATTAAGTTTTGACATAGTTACAGTAGGAAATTTACTATAAAAGAAAAATCTATAATTTTGCCCCATACAATGCATTTTTGGCTATTATCTGTACATGTTCTTAAATGGATCTTGTGAATCCACCAATAAATAGTGTCTTTGATAGAATTCATTTGAACCTCGTTTACAAAGTCATCCTGGAAGTGCACACAATTAATGGTTTTATGTGAATACTGTGCATTCATCTCTTATCAAATATGAGTGCTAAAAAATTGATGTGATCGACAGCTGGAGAGTAGAGGTTATAATTAAACAAGTGCATAAATGAGACTTGGAGAAACTATTGATCACACATGTGCAAGTATTTTTGGCCAACCGATAAACGGCCATAACCAAAAGGGCCATTTTTTTCATTATCGCACATTTTCTTGCTTGTTAACGGTGGTAAATATGTAGGGGAGTCAAATTTGGGTTAAGAGTCTAGCAAATGTATAACAAGGATGAAAAATGTCTAGAAATTTTATTTCATCATTAGTGTTCTCTAGGTTGCTTAGGATGAATGTGTTTGCTAAATGTCTAGTTGCCAATTGTTGGATTTCACCTACTTCGTCATGATGCGATACTTTGCTCAATAATCAAGCGGATACAGTTTGATTATTGAACAAAAGAGCAATTCATAGTGTTATCAGAAATGATTCGGGTTCTACTGCTTTGCAATATTACATTAATACTCTTGGATGGCAAAGTATGATATAGAATTTGATTCATATAATCTCAGTTTTGGTTGATGCTTATATCTTCAGTTCAGCCAAGTGCTGCTGTGTTGATGGGGAACCCGATTCAGGCCTTTACTCCTCCAGGAGCCGGAGCTCCAGCCTCCGGCAAATCACCAAGCCCTGTTCAAAGAATCGACCCCGGAGCCAGCATCCTCTATGTGCCCGCTGTCTATGGGGGAAATATGGTGATGCCCATGCCTCTTCCGGTACATTCTGGATTTTTTTCCTCATACTCTTTAACATGGGTCATAACCTGTTCATTTTTGAGATGTTTCAGCCTGTTCTTTTTACTATCAGTTGGAATTTGGAGGCCCTTATCTCTCCACCCTAAATGTATTTCCTTGAACATGCTGTACACTTATATGACCCTCACCTCACCTTCTCTTCACCAGTTGCCATGGCCTGGCTACCAGAGCCGTTTCGCTATGGATCCTCGCATCATGAGTCATCAGGCCGCCATGGCCACGTACAACCTCAACCTGCGGCCGGCAGCCAGTCGCACCTCACCTGTGCTGTATGGGTTCAGTCACCCGTCTCCTCTGGGTCTGAACCAGCAGCCAACCTCTGAGAAAGAACTACTTCAAGAGCCCAGTGGAAATGGTATAATCCACAACACTAGTGTCTTTCATTTTAACAATTCCGGTTGCTTAACTGAGCAACACCAAGGTCATGGGTTTGAATCCCATGGAGAACAGATGCTGATAAATGTATATTTGAAAAAAATATTTTAATTTAATAATAGTTTGGGCTAGTTTAAGTGAGTTGGATGTATTGTTAGAGAATTACAAAAATTGTGAAAAGGCCAAAAATATTTCACGATAATGCAGTTACACTCAATGGGACAAGGTGGTCAGGAGGGTTTAAAGGATAAGATGTGCAGCTCTTATTTTGGCAAAAATGCTTTTGTGAAATATTCAGTATACTTACTAAAATGCTTCTTAATAGATGTCTACTGTGGATGAAAACCAACCTAAAAAGTTCCTTTAAAATAATGTATTTCACATCAGGCCCGGTTTGCATTGGTTTAACAGTTCATACTTTTGCCTGTACTTTCACTTACGTTACACTGTAAAAGTTTTTGAACTTGGTGAACTCTGTCTTTTGGGGTTGTGTTGTGCTGATTTGCTGTCATTCTTTAGGGAAAATCGACATTAATGGGAAAACGGAGCATTGTAGGCTGCTGACACCTGAGAGGAAAGCCCCTGAGCTGAAGGAAAAACAGGTACCATCCATCCGCCCGTTCTCTTTTTGTATCTATCTATCTATCACACGTCCTTCCCGGTTTAATCTGGAGCCGCCCACTATGCCTTCCCACAAGAGCACTTGTAACATGGACCATCTATCTTCACTCGTCCCCGGCATGCTCAAAACACTTCAGTTCTCCTACTCTTTTACACCCTCCATTAGCGTCACATGTCCGTAACGATTGTACTTTCTCCTCCCCTCAGGGAGACCCAGAGTCGGTGCAGAATAAGAGTCCAGAGCCCCAGTCCAACATGGGCTTCCCTGGCAGCCGCCTCATACGCAAAGACCCGCAGGCCCAGAGGGCCCTCAACTTCCACCTGGGCCCCCCACATCCCGGTTTCCCCCCTCACCACGGCAACAGCCAGTTTCCACAGCAGTACGGACTATCCCGACCTCCCCTCCGAATGCAGGCCCCCATCCACCCTCAGGCCGCCTCCTTCCCCCCATCGTTCTTCAGTGGACCTCCAATGGCGCACCGCGGGCTGCAGTCTCCGGTCCTGGAGGGTGGGGAGGGCTCGATGGGAGCGGGTCCAGGTGGGGTGGCTGAGGATCTGAAGGGTGTGGTGAGAGGCCTTCCCCCACAGATGCACCAGCAGCCCCTGCGCCTCAACAGCTTTGGAGAAGAGAGTTTGGACTCTCTGTTGGGCGATACTCTGGGTATGTACAAAAGCATTAAAAGTCATTAAATGGATTTTAGGCTTAGGCCTTAAATGGCTTTAAATGTCATTCAATTTTATTCCTACAGGCTTTAAACTATTTTTTAGATTCTGAAAAAAAATAATATTACCAGTTTATTTTGAAAATAGCTTTCATAATTAATAACTTTTTAATTTGCTTTCGCAAAAGATGTACATTGGTGTGATAAACAAATTGCAAAATTGGCGTAACGCCGCATGTTTGGACAGGATGAGTCAAACTAAGAGCAGAGAATGTAAATTTCGTGAAGTCGGAAAGAAATGGGTAAGTTCATTTGAGTCAGTAATTCAGTAATCCGTTCATAAAGACAGGCACTCGCTTCATTCTTGATTGAATCAGCTGTCTGAATGAATCTGTTGAACTAATGACTCAAATGCTCACTCATTAACTTTTTCAGTCACTTGTTGCCACCTACTGGCGGTTTACTCTCCTATTTGAAAGTATCATTGCATTTTTAACTTTTAATTTTTAATTATTAAGCCGTGTGAGATTTTTTTTAATGGATGGGCGCTTTTTATTTAACTGCTTTTGGACTGATGCATGCAACACCCGCTGAGTGTCATTAAACAGCTTGAAAGATCAAAGACAATTTTAATATAACTCCGACTGGATTCGTCTGAAAGAAGAAAGTCATATACACCTAGGATGACTTGAGGGTGAGTAATTTATGGACAAATTTTTTTATTTTTGGGTGAACTAGCCCTTTAAATTAGATTTGATGATACCTGCAGAAACCCTGTATGTAAATGCATGGATCAGAATGCTTCAGGCATGTTCATTGTCTTTGTATTGCTCCGTAGTGTCTATTCCGGCTGCTCTCTGTATCGCAGTTTTGAATTTTCTTTGCCAACAACTTTGACAGTTGTAAGTTTAGTTCAAGTTCCAGCCTTTCAAGCTTCTCATAAATTCCACAGTATTGTGCCTAAGGGTTTGAATTTTACAGTGTAAAAGCCTTTTCACACCAAGTTACTTTTTGTTTTTTGGCTTAAATAAAATGCAAGTTTTTAAAGCGAAACAGTCTCTCTGAGCTCCTTGAACTGAGTCTGAATCAGCCACGCAGAAAACACTAGCAATGCACTCAAAACACAGCCAGGTAGTAACGCACCATCAACCCCCAGAACACCTCTCAACCGTGCAGCAACACGCATAAAACCAGTCAGAACGCCACAGCAACTGCAGACTAACACCATAGATTGTAGGGCTGCACAGTTATAATTGTGGTTATCAATCATGATTGTTTTCTTTTGAGAAATATCTTTTTACATTTCATTAGAATTATTAAACTTCCATTTAAGCACAAATCAAGAGAACATCAACTCATACCCAGCATGTAGTTAACCTCATCTATTTACTGATTTATTATATACATTTACACAATCTGTACATTTAGAAAATGGTAAAACCTTAAGAAGTTTTCTAAAAAAAAAACAGTGCCAAAAAGCTAAAACAGTGAAATTCCTAATATTTATTCCATTAATAATTCCAAATTGTATTAACAATACAAAATAATTGAAAAATTAAACGAGTATAAACATTTAAGGATAAATAACCAGAAGGCCAATATCTCAGATGATTATGCTTAATTAATCAAGAGAAGTAGCAATCGAGATCATGATTAAATTACGACACTCAGGACAACATAACATAATGCCATAATTTATTGGCATGGTGATTAATGTTCTTAAATTCTTAGCAAATATTTAAATTTGGTTAAGCTTTGTTTTAATGTGTCAATTAAGTACTTAGTGATATTAACTCTTTCCCAGCCACAATAGTTGCCAGCCACCGCCAGCGATTTTGATGATTTTCACTCAAATTTGATGGTCTCCAGTATATTTTGCTGTATGAATATTTGAATATGCAATACACCAAAATAAAGATCCAGAGCCTCTACTTTTAAACAAAAAAGTTGTTTTTTTTCTATCTTAAAGCATTCCTTTTTTATCAACACTTGAATATAGGTAGGTTTCATTAAAATGCATAATTTTGAGCTAAAAGGTGAGAAAATAATTTTTATCAAAATCTACATATATGGATAATATTCAGTACAATTATCAAAGCATAAATCCAGTAAATCGCTTCCATTAATACCTCCAAAGCTTGCACAGACCTACAGTACACCGACCGCTTCCTGGATCAACATTTTACTCCGTAACATTATGCAGTTTTCATTTATATGCTGTTCATAAATTCCCTGTCCTCCTGTCCTGTCTACCCCCCTTGGCATATTGTATGTATGGACAGGTGGATGGCTAATTTCGCTGGTACCTGTGATCAGTGACAATAAAGGGCTCATTCATAACTCGTCAATGGTGGGGAAAGAGTTCATTAACAACGTGTTCTTAATATAGGTTTATGGTTAGGATTATGGCTTGGTTCAGGGTTAGTTGCTTGTAAGCATGCATAATTTACTGTTATTGGTATAGTAAGTACATGTAACAAGGGCACTGTAAAAGAAAGTGTTACCTTAAATATTAGTTGTTGTTTTTTTTGGTCATGGTGTCTTAACCATTAAGGTCATCAGAATACCTGGTCAGCCTCCTTCAGGAGAATTTGAATGCATCCGTCTGCTGAAGTAGTCATGGTAGGGTTTGATGAACAGACCTTTTGTGTTTTCCCAGCATGTCATGGGGCTTTCTCTGTTGTGTTTTCACAGATGGTCAGGCTTCCTCGGGGCTGGATGCTCTGGGCCAGCAGCATCAGCAGCAGCAGGCGGCTCGTGTGGGTCAGTGGGGTGAACAGTCTCCCTTCCTGCAGGCCGGTGTGGCCCCCTTCCCCCTGGTGCAGCAGTTGGCTCATCTCGGCCAGCCGGGTCTGCGACTCCCTCAGCAGCTCCTCAGAGCCGGCTGGGGCCTGGGCCCTGCAGCAGAGGAGGAGCCCAGACCTGCCATGCCCAGGTTTGAAGACTCTTTGTCCTGCTGGCTTTATATTATTTTGCAAGTCTGACGATGCTAGAGTTCAGTAGTCTGAAAATGTCATATTTCATGTATGCGTTTCCGTTCTAATAGGTCGTGATTCAACAGAATACAGTGGGGCAAAAAAGTATTTAGTCAGCCACCAATTGTGCAAGTTCTCCCACTTAAAAAGATGAGAGAGATTGCTTTCGCTTTCTAGCGCAAACAATTTGTTCCCCCAAGAAACTTTACATTCGCTTGCAAAACAGGGTTTCTTGGGAGAAAGCAAACGTATGTAAACGAATGCAGAAGTTTCTTGGGAGAGCGCAAAAGGTTTGTGAGCGAAAACAACAGTTTTGCGAATGAATGCCAAAGTTTTTGGGGGGTTTGCAAGAGTTTTGCGAGTTAATGCAAGGTTTCTCGGGAGAACGCGAACGTTTCGCGAGTTAATGCAAAAGTTTTTCAGGAGAATGCAAAAGTTTTGCGAGCGAATGCCAACTTTATCGGAAAGCAAAATTTTGTGAGATTTTCAAACTTGACAAGTTGAGTCACAATGTAGTGTGTTTATTGTTGATTGCTGTTTGCTGTTTGTTTCATACTGTTTCACCATTTTTCTATGATGTTTATGAAAATATATCAGGCAAGTATACACTATGTACAATGCAGTATGTAGTAAGCTAGAATTCCATTCCGACCATATCCTAGTCTTCCTGTTTCTCTCGCTCACTCTCACTCTCTCTCTCTCTCTCTCTCTCTCTCTTGCTCTCTCTCTCTTGCTCTCGCTCTCCAGATATCCCGGTCTGTTGCGTGAAATGCTCCCTCAAGACCAGTATGAGCAGCGGGAGCCGGCCGACATGCCCCCTCCTCAATCTCGCCTCCTTCAGTACCGTCAAGTCCAGCCCCGAAGCCCCGGAGACCTGCCGTCTCCCTCTTCCGCCAACTCAAACCACATCTCCGCCCCCAATCCCTTCCCAGTTCCAGGTCCGCCCTCCTTCCCCGACACCAGCCGAGAGCTGCCCATGGGGGCCCAGCCCTTCCAGCAGCACCAGGCCTTCAATCAGGCCTCTTTCTCCCTGCCGCCCGAGCACACAGCGGGACCTCTTCCGGTCAAATACCTCCTCCAGGAGGCCCACTGGCCCCACCCTGGCCTACCCCAGAGCCACGTGCTGGGCCACGGCATGCCTTTTGGCCTGCAGGCCATGGCGCACAGGCAAGAGCAGGGCCCCCTCACACAGCTGCAGCACCAGCAGCAGAAACAGCAGCTCCAGGCCCCGCAGAGCTCCCTGCACAGCGTAGAAGAGGTGAGGGCTGTCTTCAGTCTGTTAAATTGTCTTCATTGTTTCGCTGTCTGCTCCCATTGGTAGTCAGTACATAATTGCATGAAGTTGAACTCTCATTAACAGTCTCTGATGCTAATTTTGCCACAAATGAAAATTCTCATTGAAAATCAACAAATTACTGTCACTTGTCGCTGTAACTGCTGTCAAAGGGGTGATTGAGTTTGTTGTAAAGGAGTAATTCATGAAGGAATAATAACATTTAGAAATTAGTTATTTTAGCACTTTGGTTCCTGAACTCAATGGGTTTTCTGAATGGGTTTTACTTCGGGGAAAATAAGCTCAAGATATTTTCATGGTTTATTCTACAATATAAAATGGATCAGTAATAGCCTGCTTGAGTTTTTTGTCATCTTGAAAAAGGCGGTTCCTAACAAATGGCTAAATGGGACTACAGAGGTTTGTTCAGACATTAAACGTCGTCACGCAGAAACTCATCTACTCACTAGTCCGCTTTCGCAGCCTCGTTGTGTTTATAATCGACTCAAACTTCAATTGAGATTTTAAGTAATGATTGGAATCGTTTCAAGGCTTAATTGTGGTGACGCTGAAGTTTGTGGTGATGCTAACTTTCGCTTGTACTTCTGGCGTATTTAGACTCAAAACTCGTGTTCATTGTGAAGATGACTTTCATGAACAAAACGTTGAAGAATTGTAAACTTTTGTTGGTCACCGAGCTTATTTTCTGCAATAATCCAAAAGCCAATGGGAAAATCCTATAGGGTTTTTTGTCGAGGGAACCAGTGTGATGCTAAATTCAGGGTTGGCCTAAAAGAATACGTCATCATTGCAGCACTCTATTACCATGGAGAATAATTGTTAATTGTCTGTTTGTAAGAGCAAATGGGAAACTCTTTACAGTACTGTACATTCAATGGAAGACTATAGGGCAAGAGAAGCTCACATTTTTGGTGAATCATTCTACAATGTAGGTGGATAAACTTCTGGTTATGTACTAACCAAGGTAGGAGTTTGCACCATTTAAATGGTTTTAAGACACTGAAATCATATCAAACTTCACTGGAGGAGCTGATTGTACTGTAACTCTGTGATGCTCGTGTATTTTATAAGCGGTATTTGTGATTTGCTCATTTTAAACATTATTAACATTGGTATTTTAAAAGCTCAGGCACTTGCCATCGAGGCTTCAAATATAAATGTGACCCTGCAGCACAAAAGCAGTGTTAAGTCGCTGGGGGATATTTGTAGCAATAGCCAACAATACATTGTATGGGTCAAAATTATAGATTTTTCTTTTATGGCAAAAATCATTAAGATATTACGTAAAGATCATGTTCCATGAAGATATTTTGTAAATGTCCTACTGTAAATATATCAAAACTTAATTTGTGATTAGTAATATGCATTGCTAAGAACTTCATTTGGACAACTTTAAAGATGATTTTCTCAATATTTAGATTTTTTTGCACCCTCAGATTCCAGATTTTCAAATAGTCGTATCTCGACCAAATATTGTCCGATCCTAACAAAACCATACATCAATCGAAACCTTATTTATTCAGCTTTCAGATGATGCATAAATCTCAATTTCGAAAAATTTACCCTTATGACTGGTTTTGTGGTCCAGGGTCACAAATGTACTTGCAACATATTTTCTGTGCATTTATACACTGTACAGGACACTTGTTGAAATTGTCTGTGGTTATGACAGCATACAGACATTATGTAGAAAAAAAAAGTCTAGAATATTGCTTTAAAATGGAAATAGTTACACTTTTGGTATTCTTGGTTCTCTTATTTGGACTTCAGCTGCTTCCTTAGTGATTTGGCATATAAAAATAGGCTGAAAAAGGACAACAAATATTAAATCATGTCTGAATTGGACCTACATATCTCTGGCATTCAATTGAGCTCCCACTGTTTTGGATGTTTCAATCAGAGGGTTGGACACACATGCATCCAAATGAGTATCTCTTTGATTGCATTAGTTTTTCCGTATTCCCACACTCATTTTCTGTCTTTCAGTATGAACCACGGGGCCCCGGGAGGCCTCTGTACCAGAGGAGGATCTCCCCCAGCTCCCCCCAGCCGTATCCGGACAGCCTGGATCCTCAGGACCACCACACGCCCTCCTACAGATACCCCTCAGCAGACCTATGGACCCCCGGCCCGAGCCCCGCTCCTCTCCACAACATTCCATGTAACGGAGCGAGCCACCTCGTCCCTCACAGGGAGGTTTTAGGTGCGTTTCACTGACCTTTGCATGCGTAGGATAGATTTTGGTGATTGTTGTCGTGATATATAAGTGCACTTATTCGTTTAATCAATAATACTGGATTTTTATTTAGGATATTGACATCTAATTATTCTATTTGAATCATCTATCATTGAGTCAAAACTATTGTTGTGCTCAGTGTTGTTATTGTTTGCTAAAACTATTTAAAAAAACTTTTTCGATTGAAATAAAGCGGAAATGAAATTTCAAATAAATAGCTCAAAGACTTAGGAATATTGGCTTGGCAACTAACTGAATAAAAGTTGAAGTTGAAGTATCAATAAGACTAAAACTGATATGTGACCCTGCAGCACAAAAGCAGTGTTAAGTCGCTGGGGGATATTTGTAGCAATAACCAACAATACAGTGTATGGGTCAAAATGATTGATTTTTCTTTTATGCCAAAAATTATTAGGATATTAAGTAAAGATCATGTTCCATGAAGATGTTTTGTAAATGTCCTACTGTAAATATATCTCAACTTAATTTTTGATTAGTAATATGCATTGCTAAGAACTTCATTTTAACAATTTTAAAGATGATTTTCTCAATATTTAGATTTTTTTGCACCCTCAGATTCCAGATTTTAGAATAGTTGTATCTCGGCCAAATATTGTCCGATCCTAACAAACGTATTTATTCTTCTTTTAGTTGATGTATAAATCTCAATTTCAAAAAATGAACCCTTTGTGTCCAGGGTCACATATGTAAACAAAATAAAATAACACTGGTTTTGCTGTGTCTTAATATATTCTGATTCTTCTTCTTGCAGTATTGCAAAGCTATTTTCCATCACTACAACTTAAACTGAAATCTTAATATATTAAAACAAAAGCGACTTCTAAAAACAAAAATAAATACTGTAATACTATATAAACAATGCTATAATAATACTGTTTTGCTGATGTAATCATATGTCATATATGCATGTAATATATATTTAATATAATATATTGTGATTCTTTTTATGAAGTATTGCAAAGCTATTTTAAATCACTAAAAGCTGAAAATATTAAAAGCTACTTCTAAAAATGCTACTACTACTAAAAATTTAAAGAAATGCTATATTACTAATACAAAAGCAACACTGTTGTAATTTACTGATGTGATCTTACAATATATGTATCAATATATTGTGATTCTTTTTCTTGCAGTATTTTAAAGCTTTTTTCGATCATTGTAGATAACGATATTAGCGTCCACACCAGCGAACGATATCGTCTGTTTATTCTAAGCGCACGTGCGTCTGTCTGTTACAGCAGGATAGATTCTAATTGGCTGTCAATGTTTGTATCGTTCATCAGCTGGAGAAAAATTGTTCTGGAAGTGATTCGAACGTTATCGTTTCTCTGTATCGTTATCGGTATATTTGTGGTGTGGAATCTTTAATATCGAGAACGATTTTTTGAACTATATCTTTATCGTTATCTTTATAGTTATCGTGCTTGGTGTGAATGGGCCTTTAGTTGTCTGGCGGAAATGCACTATTGTACCGATACTGATTGTACAGCCGTTGGGTTGATGTTAAACACATTAAAGGGGTCCTATTATGCTTTTTCAACTTTAGTTAGTCTGTAATGTTTCTGTTTGAGCATAAAAAGATCTGCAAAGTTACAAAGTTCAAAGTCCAATTCAAAAGGAGATATTTTATTTAACAGAAGTCACTTTTCAAAAACTACAACGAACAACTCGTTTGGACTACAATGCATATTTCCCGGGATTTGTGATATCACAAATATCAACGAATGGGACGAGACCTGGTTGAGCTGCACTAGAGAAGGCAACGAGTGTTATCACTATTTCGGAGACACGCTAGCTTTCCCAAGACAGACGAACTTAGGGGTTACAATCATCCGGGTTTAAATCGCGCTCAAATTGATTGGATTTTTGATACAATATTCACACTGAAGCTCGCAGGCAGCTATGGTAAGGGGCGTGGCATTTCCCGACCAGGCGCCGAGTGAGCCAATCACAGCACACACTGGCCCAGCTAACCAATCACAGCACACACCGACCCAGCTGACCGATCTCAACACACACCGGCCCAGCTAACCGATCACAGCACACACCGGCCCAGCTAACCGATCTCAACACTCACCGGCCCAGCTAACCGATCACAGCACACACCGGCCCAGCTAACCGATCGCAGCACATTTTGTATTTCAGAAGGCGGGCCTTCATTTGGTACAGGAACTATTCGAGCCGTTCATGTCAGACTGAGGAGAGAGGGGTTGTAATAATGTAAAATATGTGAAAAATAATGTGTTTTTCAAACAACCTAGTATGAGAGCCTGTTCTAGTACACCCCCAAAACAAAATCAAGACTTTGTAATAGAGCATAATAGGACCCTTTTAAGTTTTGCTCATTCATAGAATGAACCTTAAAAACATAACTACTCACTTAAAAAAAAAATCTCTATATGGAGTGAAATGTAAGAACTTGTTTATTAGTGGTTTAATAATGAACATTAGTGTTGCCTGTGATCCCATTAACCCGTGTGCATTAGACCTATGATGAATATTATAACTGACACTTAATCCTGTTGAAGTAATAATGACGTGCACTAATTGTTCCTCAGTTTCAAAGGCGGTGAGTGTCGTAGATGAGCAGCAGTCGCCTCACCCCGCCAGCGCCGTGTCTCTCCAGCACCACGGACAGTTCCCACCCCTCATGCCCAGCAAGCAGACTCCACCTGACCCGGGAGGGGGCAACACCAGCCCAGGGGGCCCCCAGGGGCCCGGCAACCCCAAGCCCCCGACCATGTCCTACGCCAGCGCCCTCCGAGCTCCTCCAAAGCCCCGGCCGCTGCCCGAGCAGGTCAAGAAGAACAGTGACCCCATCTCTCTGTTACAGGAACTTAGCATAGGCAGTTCAAACAGTAGCAATGGCTATTACACGTATTTTAAATAAGTCAACATATATATACTATATATACCTGTTAAAAAGGAAAACTGTAAAAAAAAAAATAGAATAACAATCTAAAAAAAACAATAAAAATGTATTTTGATTTTGTGGAATAGTTGTAGACATTTTGCGTTTTATTATTTTTTTACTTGCTTTAGTACTAGTTGATTCTTTTACAGTTTGGCATCTGTGATTTTACAAACCGAATCAGCATATATATATATATATATATATATATATATGTATGTATCATGAAACACCAAAACATTTGGGGAAAAAACATTAAAAAAAAAAAAAACCCTTAAAAAAAAAAAAAAAAACAAAAAAAAAGATTTATGGAAAAAAGATTTTTAAAAACGCCATGAATTGGTTGACCACTCAGCTGCCCGTCTTTCCTGTAATTATGTCCGCTCTCTTTGCATCCGCTCCCAGAAGTAAAACTTGAAGTGATTTCTCCCAGCTGGCTTTTTTTTTTTATGATAAGTTTCTTGGTGTTTTCTTGTGCTTGCTGCTGAGTGGTGAACTGACTCGGATAAAACAAAACAAAAAATATTATAAAAAGTTGTATAGATGTAGACAGATTTTCTCAAACCTGTACATATGAATAAATGAATACATGAGATGAGAGTTGTGTGCTTTATTCTTCTACTACCACATCCGCATGTAGAACGTAAAAATATCTCACAGGCAAATATCAAACCTTTTTATTAGCAATGAAATGGGACATCAGAACATTTTAGATTTTTTTTTTTTTATTATGTTTGCAAATACATGGAAAAAACGCAAAGCTGCCAAATGAGCAGAAAGTTGATTTGTCAAGAGTCTGTTTGTTATTGGATATCAAAATGCTCCGTTTTAATAAGCAACAAAGAGGTTTTGTTTGTGCTCACCTGGTCGGGATATAAAAATGAACCATTATGACGGCTATAATGCATTTACTTATTCTCAGGAAATGGTTATTAGTGCTGGCAAAATGCAAGAAGCAACCGAAAACAAAAACTGGTCATTTTAATGAAGCTGTTAGCTATAAACCAAACTGATATCTTTGTACCGTGGGCCTACATTAGAATTAGTAAATGAGCAAATATACAGAAAATGAGCATTCATTATTCTTAAATCAGAATTGTGTTCATTATTTGGCCACTGATCCAAAAGCCCTTGGACTATGTTCAAAACACACGTAATATATAACCATTCGACATCTTAAATGTCCCATTTGTTAAGGTGGCAGTGCACATTTCAAACCCAGGCTCACTGTGTCCAATATAATGGAGTACAATGCAGAATAACAAAGATGTGTGAATATAAGCTCATTGAATATAAATATATGCATGAATGTTTTGTGGATTTCAGTCCATGTCTATTAGTTTGAACAATTTCTATACGAGTATACTCATTTTATACACACATTTTAAATCCTTTTCTTCCTGGAAAATGGGTCAAACGTACAGTCAAATGAGAACCAGAATGTCCTTCCCTCTAAATTATGCCTCAAACCAGCAACAGGAAGCAGTAACTCATGGTCCAGAGGTGTCTTAAACTAAAGGCTAGTGGCTATAAAAAATAAAAAAGGACAAGACCTTCAGTATGTCCTGCCCCAGCTACATCAGCACAGAAAATGTTTGTAGGGTTTTAACAGTCTGTCTCGAGGCAGTTCTTTGAGATTCACTCGCTCCAAAGCAGGAAGTCCCAGTGTGACGTGCGTAAAGAATATAACCGCTTAAATTACCTGGGAAGTATAAGCCTGTGCTAGTAATGCTATTAGATTCACCTCACTTTAAAGTGCAATCTGTGCTTGCTGAAACTGCCTGTACAACAAATAGCCATCGTTGCTTATGCTTTTATGGTCATCCATCAATGGCACGGTTTTAGAAATAACAGATTGTAAACTTTACATACTATAAACAAGTCCCTAAATATACATTCTAAGCTGTCATCTATTGCATATAAGCATGAATGCACACAAAAATGTTTTCATATACCATAAAACATACAAAATGCATGTTAGATATTTCATATAGACTCCCTGTTGAAAAAAATAGCATATGCTGGTTAGGTATGTTTTGATGCTGGTTTAAACTGGTCCTTTGCTGGTTTATGCTGGCTTATGCTGGTTTATGCTGGTCATGTGCTGGCAAAAGACCAGCATAAACCAGCAAAAGGACCAGCATAAACCAGCTTAAACCAGCAAAGGACCAGCATAAACCAGCAAAGGACCAGCTTAAACCAGCATCCCAGCATCAAAACATACCTAACCAGCATAAGCTAGTTTTTTCAACAATGGGATAGTTTACCCAAAAATGTAAATTCTGTTATCGTTCACTCACCATCAAATCTTTTCAAACCTGTTTGACTTACATTCTTCTCCTGGACACAGTTTCAAAGAATCTATCAAATAAAAAAACTTTTTGGATGATCTATCCGTCTCTCTATCAATGCTTAGTTAAAAATATCAATGCATCACTATCATCATCTATAAATGCAATGCATCATTATCATTCACTCTGCTAGTATGACTCCTGTGTCATCTGCGTTGCGCTCTTACTCTGTGGTCGACGCTACCCTGTTGAAAAAACCAGCATATGCTGGTTAGGTATGTTTTGATGCTGGTTTAAGCTGGTCCTTTGCTGGTCCTTTGCTGGTTTAAACTGGTCCTTTGCTGGTTTAAGCTGGTCCTTTGCTGGTCCTTTGCTGGTTTAAACTGGTCCTTTGCTGGTTTAAGCTGGTCCTTTGCTGGTCCTTTGCTGGTTTAAACTGGTCCTTTGCTGGTTTAAGCTGGTCCTTTGCTGGTCCTTTGCTGGTTTATGCTGGTCCTTTGCCAGCACATGACCAGCAAAAGGACCAGCATACACCAGCATCCCAGCGTCAAAACATACCCAACCAGCATATGCTGTTTTTTTCAACAGGGTACTCTAGTCTATGGGTTCTGGTTCGGCGTCCATGCAGGTCTCCCAGGGGTTTCTGGGCATGTGTGGCATGGAGATGATGAGGAGGCTGATGCCGCTGAGGAAGAGGAGGGTGAAGGCGGTGCAGGCGCACGCGAAGGACCACGAATAGTAGTACTCGATCCATATGGTCTCGTCGCTGTCGATCATGCGTTTGACCGACTGCCTCATGATCTCCACAGATATGACGATGCACAGACCTGTGAGGGTGAGGAAGGTCACAGAGGTTAAATGGAGAATAAAGACAGTGGTGTTTGTGGTTAGTGTCCGGGGTTTCTAGGCTATTGATTCACTAGCAGTTAATTACACCGTCCTGCAAGTCCTTGAGTACGTATACATGCTCAGAGCTGCTTTCGACCTGCAGGACACTTGACCAGTTGCTACTGCTTGAATGTAAGTTGTAATCGTGATAGTGTCATGAAATCACCCTTGTTAAAAAGAAGTGTGCTTAATTGTGTTGAATGTGCATTTGTACTACACTTCACATCTTGAAAGTGTAACTTTAAAAACTGTACTTGCAGACCATACTGATGAAATAAAGGACAGTTAAGTGAACTGAGAGACAGTTTCGTGACTCTTTCTCAACACACTTATTAAACACTTTTAAAAATGCACTTTATAATAATGTCAAATTAAAAGTTTTATAGTCAGTCATGTTTTAATAATGTTTTGTTGTGATTTAAAGACATACACTTATTTTGACTAACTAACATACTAAAGCACACACTGTAAAAAAAAAAGTCCCGTAAAAAAAAACCGGTAAATGACTGGCAGCCAAACAAAAACCGTAAAATTAAAGTAAAATAACTTAATTGAAACAAGGAGAAATCTGTAAACATTTGGTTTGCACTTTATTTCAATTAAGATTTTTTACTTTCATTTTACGGTTTTTGTTTGGCAGCCGTAGCTGCCAGTCATTTACTGTTTTTTTACGAGTTTTTTTTTTTTTACAGTGCATGTAAAGTATTTAATTATAATTTGAACTGTAGTATAATATATTTAATTACATGTCATACAAGTTTCAATAGAAATGTCATTGAAGTATATTTTATCATAAATGATTGACAGTACATTCGACAGTACACATTAACCCTATTTATCAAAGGCGATATAAATAATTATGAAATTACAAAGATGTACTTAAAGTCCTACTTAAGTGGGCCAAGAAAAACTCAAGTTCTGCTAAATGCATTTTTTTTAAATAAATTTAAACTATAACACATTGTGTCAGAAAACATAAGTTCATAAGTACTCCATAAATGCTCTTTATAAAAGTATGCTAAAGTGTACTTCTTTTACACAAGGGTATCAACAACAAAAACTAATATAAATGCTAATAACGTGGTTTCTTTGACATATACCAGGGTAGTAGGCTCCATACCACGGTATTGTTTGAACTATGAATATTCAGTGTACATGAGAGAAGCATGGTATCATAACTGTACAACGGTACCAGATAAATTACTCAAACTACAGTTTAACATAGTGCTTACCAGCAAAAGCAAAAAACATGCCAGCTGGTCTCAGCAGGTAGTCTCTGCCCTTCCCAAAAGCCCCCAGGAGGCAGAGACTGCCCAGGGTCATGAAGGCCAAACTGAAGATGGCTATGGCAGCGGCTGAGATGTTGTACTCTGACAGAAGAAAATCACAGTGAGTCTGAGTGTGGATCAAAGCTAGACCAGGTCTTATGAGATCTTATACTATTAAATTGTTCTTTTATGTATGCATAGCTGTCTTCAACTATGCATACAGGTGTAAACCTGCTGTACACGTATTTAATATAATCATATGAATCATATGTAGTAAATGCGTGCTGTGCTCTGTGCTATGCAGGCTAATCTGCTAGCGTGTTAACTGAAAACAAAACGAAGGAACATCTAATTTGACCATTTGTAACGTTGGGTGTGTTGTGATGCATGCTATGTAATTAAAATTGTTAAGACTGTTGGATTCCTAATAAGAACCCAAGCAAGAAGCTAAATTAAGCAGTTTCAACATAAGCTATCTATTACTCTATGTTCTTGACAGGTTTATATTTATTTATCCAATTTTATTCTTTCTTATTATCAATATCAATGATTTTGAATGCAACTGCTGCTTACCAAAAGAACTTGCATTCACCGTACAGCTCTGCAGGCAGCTTGCATTCACAACCAGACCATTGAAGGACGACTTCATCTACCCTGCTAATTCAGATGATCTGGCTAATCAGTCTGACCTCTAGACTAATGTTGCCTTTAATGTGTCATTAATTAGTAATACAGACAGATCAATATTGTGAATGAGTATTGACATTTCAGGACGTGGCTCAGGAAGTGTGTGCTTCACGTCTCGCTGCACTCAGCACTTTATCAAACTCAGATAAAAGGCTTTATTCCTCTTTAACTCAACGACCGAGCTAGAGCATGAAATAGCTAAGATGCGCTCTGCTCAAGTAGGTAGAAAATGTAGTGCCACTGGCCATATTTGGTTGCCAGATTGCACTGCCTGTGATTGGTGGACATTGCGTCATAACTGAGAGCGACACAGCTCCAATCTTAAGAAGAACAAGGTACTCATATAGCATAGCTTTCAAGAATAATAACAAATATGTTGTATCTTGGGAGCAGTACTTGCATATGCAAAACTCATTGCACACAATGCTAGTGTGTTGTTATGCATTGCTAAGTTGTTCAGTGTAGTTTTTAGCATGTTGCTATGAGGTTTCTTGGGTGAGGTTTGCTAGAGTAGCCTGTTTGTTTGACATTTATCATTTATCCGCCAAAAATTGGAAGTTAGATTGCTTGGGAAAGCAGGATCATTTGTCAAGTCAAGTCAAGTCACCTTTATTTATATAGCGCTTTTAACAATACAGATTGTGACAAAGCAACTGAACAGCATTAATTAGGAAAATAGTGTCAATAATGCAAAATGACAATAGTAAATACTCATTTTTCAGTTAAAGACAGTTCATCATTGAATTCAGTGATGTCAACATCCAGCTCAGTTCAGTTTAAATAATATCTTTGCAATCATGTCAACGATAACGCTGGAAATGAAGTGTCCCCAACTAAGCAAGCCAGAGGCGCTTTGTGAGTGTTGTGTAAACGATGCAGGATGGACAGTCCTGGGTAGTAACTGATTACATGTACAAAACTCATTGCACACAATGCTAGTGTGTTGTTATGCATTGCTAAGTTGTTCAGTGTAGTTTTTAGCATGTTGCTATGAGGTTTCTAGGGTGAGGTTTGCTAGAGTAGCCTGTTTGTTTGACATTTATCATTTATCCGCCAAAAATTGGAAGTTAGATTGCTTGGGAAAGCAGGATCATTTGTGAGTGTTGTGTAAACGATGCAGGATGGACAGTCCTGGGTAGTAACTGATTACATGTAATCTGGATTACGTAACCAGATTCCAAATAGTAAGTACTTGTAGTTAGATTATATTACATTTTGAAATACTCGTAATCAGACTACAGTTACTTTTTTATTGATTACATGATTACATATTAATCACACAATAGCAATAAATTGTTCTTCTAAAACAATGCTGCTTTTTCATCTTGTAAATTTTCCTTGCTAAAATAGCCTGTATATATATATATACAGTGGGTACGGAAAGTATTCAGACCCCCTTAAATTTTTCACTCTTTGTTATATTGCAGCCATTTGCTAAAATCATTTAAGTTAATTAATTTTTCCTCATTAATGTACACACAGCACCCCATATTGACAGAAAAACACAGAATTGTTGACATTTTTGCAGATTTATTAAAAAAGAAAAACTGAAATATCACGATCCTCTAAGTGTGCACATTTATGTGTGGGTTTTTGGACAGCTAATGAGATGTAACAAGCTCTGTTTCCTACCATTGTTTAGTCCTCCCTCACTTAACTAAATAACACTTTGCATTGCACAATTGCCTAATACCCCCCACCACCTTTGGCTAATTAACAGAAATGAGCCTCTCGCCCATGTGTTCATCAAGTTACAGGTCCTCTGTCTCATATCTCCCAGGGAAATTTGAAAAGTCACATTATATAAGAGTTCATACGTAGGAACCTCTTCTTTAGATTAAACTCATAAAGCAACCTCAGCGTCCCCTGTGCCGGGAGAAAGACTGACAGAGGAGCTGTTTTTTACGCCGGACCAAGAATCTCCAGCACAAGTGGGGGGTTGGGGGAGGCCTATGTATAGGTTACCTAGCAACAGGCTGGTCTTAGCTTTATTAGTAAAGGCAGACTGACAGTGGCGAGGGTTTGGGATGCATCGTTGCGCTGCTTTAGACCGTGATTTACTCAGCTTATTTGACTATTCCCATCACAGGCCCTTAGCGCAAGTTGTTGTGGATGAGTTCATCTCACGATTGGCCTCTGAGAGCCTTTGGCCGTAATGGTTGGTGCCATGTGTGGGCTAATACACGTGTTGGGTCGTGTTTATCCTCTAAGTGTGCACATTTATGTATGGGTTTTTGGACAGCTAATGAGATGTAACAAGCTCTGTTTCCTACCATTGTTTAGTCCGCCCTCACTTAACTAAATAACACTTTGCATTGCACAATTGCCTAATACCCCCCACCACCTTTGGCTAATTAACAGAAATGAGCCTCTCGCCCATGTGTTCATCAAGTTACAGGTCCTCTGTCTCATATCTCCCAGGGCAATTTGAAAAGTCACATTATATAAGAGTTCATACGTAGGAACCTCTTCTTTAGATTAAACTCATAAAGCAACCTCAGCGTCCCCTGTGCCGGGAGAAAGACTGATAGAGGAGCTGTTTTTTACGCCGGACCAAGAATCTCCAGCACAAGTGGGGGGTTGGCGGCCATACTGGGATGTTTTGGCTTCACTTTTCTATAGTCGAAGGAAGTGGAGACGCGTCGGCCATCTTTTTTTAAAGTCTATGGTTCTGTGTGAACGGCCCCTACTGGTAGTCCATATGATTTGTGCGCTGTAAGTCTTTTGAAGCCATACAGTAACTTTCTGTGAGGAAAGTTAAAATTAAAAATCTTGGTACAATGCTTTTGGTAACAAGAACAAGAGAGAATGCTGTCTGCTGTCCTGCCATGACACGTCTTGATACGACCAACATTCTTCACAATATCTTATTTTATCTTGCACAGAAGAAAGAAAGTCATACAGGTATTGAACAACAGGGGTCGGTGAGTAAATGATGACAAAATTTTCATTTTTGGTGTGAACTATTTCTTTAAACAATTATATACTACAATACTGTATCAGAATCTACTGAGTGGATCACTTAAGTCACTTAAAATTACTATTTTAACATAATTAACTCCACTGGGAAGATCGAGAGACACTTTAACAGACCCGAGTGTTGAATGAGTGTGAAATCCTAAAATCCCTCGAAGAAATTGATGAGTCTCGCCAACACTCATAGCTCTTCTTTTCCCTCTGTGAGAAGCAGGTCTGGGAGTGAAGCCAAGAATCATCGACCAAGCAGGAATATAACTGCTTAAATGCTAATGTTTTGGCTTATGGCTTGTGCAGTTCAAGAGGCTATCCAAATCTAACCACTCCCCAGACAGTGGTGTTTGCAGTACTAGTGTGAACTGGGCTACACCTTGTCTCATAGGACGTCGCTTGAATGGCTGTGCTCTGCAAGGCGTCCGTGGAGCCTCAGGGTTAGGTGCTTTCGAAACCTTGCCAGCACAAATTCTCCCACTGGTGCAGGAATATCAGTAGGTCTCTGCCAAGACTGGAATCCTCCACCTCATTGTACTGCTTATCTCCTCATGGTCTAAAGTGAGAGCTGCGGGGTTCGTTTGGAGAAAACTCATGCTGCACAGTGGTAAACAATACTGGTACTGTGCATTATCATTCAGGAAATGTTTGACGAAGCACAGATTTAGCTGACTTTGACTAATAATCTGACCTCTAAAATGATATTTTAGATCTAAGGGAATAATGGCTAGTCCTAATTGTGTTATTGCTAATCTGAATTTTGACTATCGGCATAAAGTCTAGTACACTCTGCAGCTTATTCCAGTCAAGAACACTCACTTTTGGCCCATCGCTGTTTTTACATGAGGTTTATGGATGGCTAAATTTCAAATATCCCTAAGAGTATAGTGCAATGCATAGGTATACTTAAGGATATCTCATGTACTTGCTACTAAGTCTTAAAACTCTTGACTTTTCAAAGATCAAAGCAACTAGGTAAGTGACTTCAAACCTTTGACTCCTCCTCTTCAGAAGTTCACATTGTAGCGAGAAGGGTCCCGCAGTGCTACAAACCACGCCCCTCCAAGTCACACCTACTACTATAAGTTATGCCTCCTGCAGAAAAAGCAATGTTGACTAAAACAATCTTTTCAAGTAAATTATCTTATGTTTTATAAATGAAATGTTTGATACGGACCTATGGTAATCATAGCTAAAAACCTACCCCCAACCCTAAACCTTACCCTAACCCTACCCCTTACATAAAATTAAAATTTACTGTCGCGTGTTCTAATTGAAATGCTTTTTAGAAACGGGATGACTTACGGTATCTGGTGAGCTATGTAATACAATCTGTACACCTCATCGCTGGGTGGTGATATTGAAGCTTAAAAAGCAAGGAAAGTGAAGTAGAAGAAGAGATGTATAACGACATCAGCGATTCCCTAATTGGCTGTTTCGTTGTAGGGGGTGTAAAGTGTAGTAGTAGGCGTAACTTGGAGGGGAGTGGTTAGAACTACTGCCGGACATAAACGGATACACGTGATTGTAGCAGCCTTGTTTCCTGGCGGACTGGCAAAAACCTGTGCACTATTCTGTAACATTTTGATTCCCAGAAATTGCATAGAGCCAATCAGATAGGAGCTTGCTGCTTTAGGAAAGCTCTTGTCATTTTGTGTAAATACGCCTCAGATGAATGGTCTTCAGTCCATAAATGGTCCAATGGCATCTGAGGCTGAAGCTACATCCTGGATGATGAAATATAGTGCACTGTCATAGTCAGTTGTCAACTAGTCTAAAATTAGTAACTGAGTTGGAGAATTAGGGTTTAACCCAATTGCAACTGTTTAGGCTGTTGTCATTTTGCCTTCAACATCTATAGTTGATGTTAAATCCTGGGGCCTTGCTTAAGGAGGAGATCCTCCCCAGACATTCACAGGAACACATGGAGGGACGGATCACTCTGTTTATCCCCATAGTTCTTCCTGAGATGTGAAAAGAGGAAGCTGGTCTTACTGTGCCCTGGATCACACCGGTGACAGCCTGGATCCAATGACTTTTTTAGTTGTTTTTGTGTGGCCTCTGTTCCAATCATCCACTAAATACTATGATCTTTTGTGTGACATTTTATCTATAACCTGCCATCTGTAATTCTCAAGCATTAAATGTTAAAGTAAGTATGTTTGCATAATGCAGTTGATGGTTAATTGTCAGCAACAGAAGGAATTATGAGTGAATTGCATTTACTTTTTCACACTCTTTTCTTCTTCTCTTCAATCTGTTTGACCTCATGAGCTTGGGTGCAGGAATGAAATCAGGCTGATCCATCCCTAGAGCAGCGTAAAGAATAGTCGAGTTATTTCCTGTCTCCCACAGGTATATTTAACTCATCTGCCTTTCCATTAATCCATATCCACTGATCTGCTCGTAAATCACCTTAAGCTATCTATTACAACCTTAAACAACCCAATGACATCAGAAACAGCAAATCAACGCCCGTTTGATTCATTAGCACTCTGGTCAATGACCTCCCTAAGCAATTCAAAAACAGCGCAAATAAAATAGACCCTCGCAAACTCACAGAAACAGACCCCCACTCAAATTGGCAATTAATGTTGAAAGGAGAAACCGCAGTGCTCCATAGAACAAAACTTTTCACCTTGAAATTTCTTGCACTGTGTCAGAATATGATAGAATGCCTGACTTGGCTTCTTCTGCTCCCCAATTTCCATGTACAAAACTTCAGATGAATGAGGTGCTCTTCTAAAAACTTCACACAGAAGACAGATCAATGCCTTTGGGCTGCATCGGATGAAATGGTTGGACATGTGCTAATGACGGTCATGAGAAATAACTTGAATGTGAACTTCCTTACCTCCTGGCAGGCTGATAGGGCCACAGCCTTTGCCCTGGGGGTCTTCCTCCACAATGAAGATACTCTTTTTACACAGCCTCCAGAGTCCGAAGTATGCCGCTTCGCAGGTGGTGTTGAGCCGCTCCACCCTGGGACTCAGCACCGCCCAGTGGTCCGTCACCACTGCCGCCAACATGGACGAGATGCCCACCAGGATAACCAGGAAGGTGATCTTCACCTTGGTCTTCTTGTCCTCCAGCATGGTGGCCTCTGAAGATAAGTTTGCGCCGTAGTTTGGAAGCGTCTCTGCCCTTAAATTAATGCTTTGGTTTAGTTTACTTCTCAGGCACTAAGGGAAATGCAAAAGTCACACGGCAACAATGCTATCTCTTCACTCCAGCTCACTGTCCACAAATCTCTGCTTCTGCTTGGAAAAAGAGGCCAGATAATAGTGCCCTAGTTCTCTCTCTCTCTCTCTCTCTCTCTCTCTCTCTGTAAGACAGTCATTTGGTATGGTGGGCTGTGCCTTTAGACCTGCCTTCATGATGTAGGCTGGGAAAATTTATTAACTAATATTGTAAAATCTGCAGCTCGTGTAGATGAAATGCAGAAATTAGCATTTAACAACACAGGTTTGATAAGACAGAGGGCTTGTGTCGGAGTTTGTGTACTGGCTAATGTCTTAGACCATTAGAACTTGTGATCGCTTGAATAATAATGAATAAACAGCCAGAGCATGGGTGCCATGTTTGTTTTTGAGTTTCCCTATCTGTCTGAAATAAAATTATTTAATAGTATCGTATCTGAGATTTGGTGATGGACTGGTCATTCCTCCAGGGTGTTTCTATACTTTTGGCCTGAGACACTGTAATAGGCTCCAGCAACCCTGTGACCCTGTACAGTACACACAGTTTCGAGATTTTAACGGATGGATGGAATCATTTTTTTTTTCATTGAATTTTATTCAGGATGTATTTAAATAATTTAATATGATGCGATTTCAAGTTTTCTTTTCTCTTTGGAGTGTTACAAGCTGTTCGTGAATAGATAAGATCCCTAAAGTTGCAAAGACTAAAGTCTCAAACCCAAATAGATATTCTTTATAAAAGATAAGACTGGTCCACGTCCTCCTAAAACGCCTCATTTAAACACGCCCCCACATGTCTACATCACTGTGTGGGAAGAGTTGCATAACACCGCCCAAATGTTCACGCAAAGAAAGAAGGCGTAACTTTGATTCTCGCTGTAGTATTGTTGCTGCCGCCGTCATGTCGTGAAGACGCTGTGTGCTTCATTGTGAAAGTGAAACTACTTTGTTTGGTCTTCCAAAAGAGGACACGACTAGAAATCAGTGGTTAAGTAGTATTTACAACACCAGGCCAGGCCAGGCCAGTTCCAGAACTGTTCAAACCAAATATTCAGATGTGTCCAGCGCATTTTATGGAGGCCTTGCGATACGCAACGCAATGCGTAAAAACACAGTATAAGTCATTATAATCAGTAATTATGTCCCCAGTGTACGCAACGAATGCCTCGTTTATAATAGGTTTTAATGTTTTTGTCTCGTCGCACTGGGACACGGCATCACAGTATGGTAAGGGGCGTAACATTTCCGTCACATGCTTGAGGTATTCGATAGAGGAGAAACAATAATGTATTTTTTTAACCTTAAACCACATACACACATTTCATTACACCAAATACACAAAATAATGTTCTTTTTAGCAACATCATATGACCCCTTTAACCATTACATCAACGTCAACTTGTGATGTGGCTTGGTTTACCATTAAATCATCTTTGTTTCTAGCATTACTAACATTATTTCTAAAAATGCTCTAAAACAACCCATCCAAAGTCAGTTTGTATAGCTATGGATTTCAGTTCAATAGGATTTTATTGTCATCTTACTGTCGCTGAAGAGTAGCCTCAAGCTTGCAGCTGACTGATCTATGAATATCCGAGGTGATGTGCAGTTTCAACGCTTGCAGTGTAAAGACAGACTCAAATTGTTACTGTGCAATGCATTGTGACGTGTCACTGAGGAAGACATTTAACATTTTACATGTACTGAATATAATTTTCATCTTGCATGATTTGATGTTGATGGCCTGTTGTGTTCATTTGCCTTGTGCCTTGCTTTTCCAAAGCAGTTTAATTATTTCCTGTGCTACTGTTGCTCGCTGGATCCCAGAGGCTCAAGGGAAATTTCCTTTTATTAGTAGATGATCTACTTTCCTCCGTCAGTGAGTGAGAGGCTGTATCTATACCTGGGTATCAAAATGGATTTCAGTTTCAGGAGGAGATTAAGACTCCAGTCTCTCATTGTTAGCTTTTATTTAAAAAATTGTTTTTAAATGTTACTGTTATCTAAGTTTCCTATATAATATAAAGAGTTATTGGTGTATGGCAAGCATCACTGTTACTATTGCTAATACTTAGGGTTAGTGATATGAACAAACAAAATTTGGCAACTCTTCCAGTTTATATTGAAGTAGGGACTATATTGAGATAAGAATATCATAGGCTTAGAGTGGGCTGTTTCTGTAAGAAACAACTTAGCAACCATCCAGCCAATCAACCAATCAGAACAGCTTAGCAACCACCTCTTATGAAAATGAACCATGGTTTTACTATAAAAAAACATGGTTGTTGTAGTTAAACCATCGTAACCACAAGTTAACCATGGTTTTACTACACATACCATAGTTTAACCACTGTATTTGTAGTAAAACCGTGGTTATACAAATGGTAATCAACCCTCCAAAAAAACATGGTTACTACACATTTACAATAATAAAACCATGGTTAATTTTTATAAGGGACATAGCAACACCCTGGCAATCACCCAAGTTAGTTCACCCAAAAATGAAAATTAGCCCACAAATTACTCACCCTCAAGTCATCCTAGGTGTATATGACTTTCTTCTTTCAGACGAATCCAGTCGAAGTTATATTAAAAATTGTCTTTGATCTTTCAAGCTGTTTAATGGCACTCAGCGGGTGTTGCATGCATCAGTCCAAAAGAAGTTAAATAAAAAGCGCCCATCCATAAAAAAAGTGTCTCACACGGCTCCGGGGGGTGAACAAAGTCCTCCTGTAGCGAATCCATGCATTTTTGTAAGAAAAATATCCATATTCAAAACGTAACAATCAGTCGTTTGAAATATTAATAGTGAAGTATAAAGATGACCAGGGTCTTTTCTCTCAGGGTCAGAGGTTACATTAATATAAGCGAAGTTGCTTCTGTAAACTAATATATTTCAAAGGTGGTTTGATTTCAGAATAGTCAACAGAAAGCCAATTCTTCTATTATTCTTCTATAGGTAGATAGAGATAAAAAAAAATAGATCAAATTAAGTACAACACATATATATGATCACTCTCTTGAAGCCCAGCACACACACACACACACACACACACACATACATGTTGGGTTTCCATGTTTTACGGGGACTCTCCATAGACATAATGGTTTTTATACTATACAAACTGTATTTTCTATCTAACCCTTCCCCTCACACAAAACTTTCTGCATTTTTAGATTTTCAAAAAACTTCATTCTATATGATTTTGACCAAAAATGTCCCCAAAAGGTCAAAATTTACTGGTTTCACTATACTTGTGGGAACATTCTTCATAATTCACATACATGTTGGGTTTCCATGTTTTACGGGGACTCTCCATAGACATAATGGTTTTTATACTATACAAACTGTATTTTCTATCTAACCCTTCCCCTCACACAAAACTTTCTGCATTTTTAGATTTTCAAAAAACTTCATTCTATATGATTTTGACCAAAAATGTCCCCAAAAGGTCAAAATTTACTGGTTTCACTATACTTGTGGGAACATTCTTCATAATTTGGGGGAATACCAGGTACACACACACACACACACACACACACACACAGGTTGCTGTTAATAATGCTTAAATCCTTAATTGTGTTGTAATATTTCTAATATTAAAAATAGCTTGTTATAATATTTAAAAGTACTGTAATGTTTTAATAAAGTCAGATTGAATATTTCTAGAGTGGGGGTATTCAAAATGAATGAACTTGGACTCGGATAGACTCGGGTGGACTTGGATTCTGACATTTTGGATGCAGATATTTTTCAGAGTGCAGACAAATCCATGTCATGCGTACCATGAGATAACAAAATAATAATAAAAAATAAGTAGCAACATAAAATTTAAATAAAAAGACATTAATAAACATCTCACTCAAACTCAATTGGTTAAAGACTAGGACCTGACTCGAACTTGGCAAGGTGGACTCGGACCCAACACTACCAACTTCCATCTATGATTATATATGAATGTACTTGATATATATCATAGTACTAAAAGGTTAATTGTAAATACAGTGGTAGTACTATTGTACTATGGTTGCAGATTCTCATAGACGTCAGTGTAAGAAAAATACTAGAACGTTCCCCTTGATAATTGTTAGTGTCTTCACACAGCTGCCCATTTATTGAATGGCTTTCTTTGCCATTCACTGTAAAAGACAAAGCAGCGTAAACAGCGTAACGTAAACAGCTTGCACTTGAGTTAACCTTACGTGTTATATAAAGTAGCGTAACATAAACCGACATCTAAGTCTGAGCTTTTTATAAAACACTGTGGCCCACTTATCAAGACTCTGGCCCATTTTCTTTGGTGACGAGTCTTTTGCCGCCTTCCGTTTTTACACAAAACACATGTCAAAAATGGCACATAGCAAAATTGGACTGCTTAAGGCAGAAAAGAGCAGCTTTCCTGAAGTGAGGCATTACTGTTCAGGAACTACACCCTGGGTCTGATGTACGCTGTGTAAATAATGGTGGACACATTCATTGAGATGGAGAGCTCTCTTGAATTTATTTTTCATCTGCGTAGTAGCTAGGATACGACAGGGATTTAGATGCTGGGCAGAGGTTGAACGCCGCTGTGTTTCCAAACACGCCACTCATGCATCAGTCTTTCAGGAGTTTATTTTAATTAGATGCACCACTTAATTTAAAAGAACAGTGAGCATTTACATCCACAACAGGCAGCTATTTTTATCCCAGATTATTCAGTATTATTATTCTGATGGGGGATGGAATTCAGTCTCTTTATTGTTATTTTCCATGTAAAGGTCATGATTGGATGACTGCATGCTGGTCTTGAATAGATATTTTTACAGTGATTCTCAAAATAACTCAAAATCTTTTCATTCACCTCCACTTACGATGTCTAAAACATACTGAGGACCACCACATTAATGTCAGT